AGTAAACATAAAAACTTCCCTGAGAACTACCTAGGAACCAGTGCTCATCAAGCCTTTAGGTAAGTCCATCAATTCATTGGTGGGATGTATTTCTTGCAATGAATTATCACTTACCATAGTCGCAATTAGATCTTATTACCAACTATCTATCTGCCATGAAGTTCTCGCGTACCCTTATGACTCTGTTGTCTGTCCTTCCACTCATAGGTGCTTGGAAGATTAAAACGCCCTCAAAAACGTACGAGGGATCCAGTCAGGCATCGAGCTGCCATAATTGGGATCTTAAGAAGGATGCTACTGTCACGGTCTCTGGGCTTCTATCAAACGCCGAATGGAAAGATTATTGCTATGTTGAAGTATTTTCTGAAGCAGACTGCGATGGGATCAAGATAGTGGATATTGCTTCTGATAGAGATCAGGTTATTTACCAGGACTCTCTAAGCTTCCAGGTCGAGTGCCCGTAAAAGAGCACCAGCGATTCCTAGAAGAGGCTAACTCCTATTCTATTGTTCCTCAGAAGGGAACCCGTGTTTAGCTGGAGTGAGTACCTCTAATGCAATAATTACTACATTATAAAATTAGGATTATCCTTAGCTTTAGCTCCTTCCTTCTGGCTGTTCTTTGCATCTAGATCTCAAGCACATCTCAAATTCCGTGCTGGTGTTCAGGTAGTATATACTAGGTATCAAGAACCCAGAGGATCTCGTGTCTGTCTGGTTTATCGAGACCAGTGATCCCATGTCATCCTAACTTGTTATATGTGTTCAAAAGTGAATAACCCCTATTACCTCTATCAAAAAAACAAAAGCTATCTGCTCTTCTCAAAAATTCCTCGTGCTTGACTAAATATATTTTTCCCACCGCTATTAGTTATTAGCACGGTTACTGACTCGTATACTTTCTCCACACCAGGGCCTGCAGATCCTCTACGAATTCATTTTGTTTTGAAGGATATGTTAGGTGTTGATTAAAGCTGATCAACCTTACCCTGGTAGTAATTAATAATGGGCCATTTTCTAGGTGTTAATTCATTTAGGCAGTCTACAGTCCTGATGACGATCATATTTACTACCATCCAAATAACTCAATTATGGCCCACTCATAACAAAACCTTGGTCCAGCGGAGTGTGTCATGAGATTTCTCATTAAATATTCTTTCAACAAGAATTACACATATAGAAAGATGTAGGATAAATGAAAAATGAGAGGAAGACGTTGGATTCTTGCGTTATTTTTCACCCAATACGTGGGTATTTAAGTCCATGTGATATAATCTTATTATTTTTTTGAGCGAATAACCATGATCAAGCTCGAATGAGCTTTGCCAGACATTGAATGGGTAATTAAGCATAGGACCTCGGCCACGGGGGAGAATGACGCCATGAATAGCCTCATGTTGGAGAGACTTCACCCGTAGACCATGTTTAAAACGAGCATAAGAAAAGTCAACCAGGACTCTGAATACTAGTTTACTTACAATATCAAGGTCTACTATGCTTAAGCTTCAGACCCACAAGGATATACGCAAAGTTCAACCATTGAGGATACTCTCCTACTCATATACGCAAATCCCATCCCCTGAGAAGCCCCAGACTCAACTGGTTAACACCCACCCACAATACAATAATAGCACACCGACATCCGACACCGCCAGACCGGTCTCGACCCTCACCGCACCTAGTAAACAGACACTAACTAACGGACGGAGTACATCTAACCGGTCCGAATAGCGCGACCAGCCGACCACAACCCCCAAACGCCAAGACCATTGAACCATGGTACACGCAGGACGATCGACATTATCAACCACAAGTCTCACCCCGTAAGGTTGTCGCTCCGCACCAGAGTGGTCCTCAGGATCTGCCGACTTCCTGCGGAATTAGACATGCGCAGGACCACCGCGGCCCGCCTGTGGCCCACACAACGGGTCCAGCAGCGCATTCCCACTTCGTTCGTCTTGTCGCTCTCCCGTTTTATTTTACTCTTCTCCTAGTTTCTTCTACGGCTGGCGCCGGCGTCAGATCGCCCGCCCGTGATCGCTGAACTTTGGTCTATGCGATCTAGGGATCCGGTGTTAGTGGTCGATCTGGGTGCTGCTAGCTAGGACACTACTGTCGATGGGCCGGCCCTTGATGGGGAATATCCACGGAGCTAATTGAGTGGACACGATGCAGAAGATGGAGGGGCCGTTAGGATAAGGGAATTGGGGGAGATCCTGCGTAGAGGAATTCATGCCGCGATTGGGTTCTAAAGGGGCAATGAACGGACACCCCGTGATCTTCAATCTCTCGCTGTCACAGCCAGGGATCTCTCCTACCCGGATTGGACCCTAATAGAATACGATCGTTACTGTACTCATCATGTTAGAGTGTCTTAGGGTACGAAGCCCTAAAATGCGTGTCATCAAGGACTACTTCTGCTTTGCCGTTGTGTGTACGATTGTATGTTCAGGATCATCACACTTGGGCTACTACTTCTACATAGCTCAATTGGATGTGGTAATGGGTCGGGCTCTAACTTGTAGTGTATGTAGTGCTTACCTTGATATTCTGGTTGATTGTTGGTTGTCTACAGTTTCGAACCTATGGTGTGGTTGATCCACCAGGTTGGTCTCTTGTTGATAAGAATAGTCAGAGAGTAAGAGGAGGTATGAACGATGATTAGCATGAATTTGACTTCAGTCACTGCTCTTAATGCTATTCTGTATAAATATTTGACTCTATCTGAGATTCATGTGGCAATCCCTAGGGCTAAACCACTGGGTAGCTCCATACGGACAGCGGACGGGTGAGAGAAAGGCGGGTAATTTATACAATGCACTTGAGACCCTGAATATTTTTCATCTAATGTGAACCGGAGGCTTCATAACTATTTTAGTTTGGTAAATATTATGATATATATTGATTGAGGGTATTGGAAATATCAAATATATAAAATGCCACTTGACGGTGCGATATTATATACAATGCACCGATAGGATGGGTCACCCGATACGAACACCGGGTTTTTAGCCTGTATATAGACTGCGCACCCGATAGCATGATCGTTACAAAGCAGACGGATTAACTACCAACTAATTACTAATATTGCAACTCCATATAATATTCATAAGCCAGTCATATATAGCTCAGTGGTTAAAGCTACTCAACCCTTCAAAGGCAACTTCGGACAGATTCTGTGCGAGACAGTGGGAGTCTGAAGGATCGCGTTGGCCCACTGCCACCCGCCACTGCCACTGACACGGCCACTACCACTACCTACCACTGCCACAACCTGGACAATGGAGACTGGAGACTGGACTGGGATACTGCGCCTTGTGGTCAAACCCTGCAAATCAGTGAGCAGACAGTCAGCCTAAACGCGCATCGGTCGGGTTCTGGAACGAGAGACGGTTGCAAGTGCCCGGAACAAAGCACGAATGACCGTTCCAGGGCCAGACATGGCGGTCAAATCAGCGCTTCCGATCGACCGGGGCTCGAAGTATGTCTAGATTGGGCAGGATTGTGCCATCGTCAGGCTTGTTGATCGTCCTCACGTCCAGCTCCACTGAAAAAGCACCGCCGATCGAAGGGGAGGGATCCGCTGGGAGAATATTGGGAACCTTTCTGGACCCATATTGAGGCAGTATCGGGTTCTTCTCCGGTGGGCTGTGTGTGTAGAGAATGTCTTATAGATGGTTGATGAGGTCATCGTCACCCCACTTGTTGAAGTTACTTTGGACTGGGCAGCATGCCTGAAACGGCTGTTTTGTTTGTTTGTTTGATACCCCACAGAATATATAGAGACAGAGTCAATGAAAGATGAGGGAGGAACAATGAATCGGTTGAGATAGTAGAAACCTGTAAATAGTAAATACTACACCTGCCAGGTCCAGACCAAAGAAACACAAAGAAACACCACAAAGGGAAAAAATGACCAGTTCAATAATGTCCGAGGGATATAACCAAGATTAGGCATGACAGTTCAATCCAATCGACGTGGCACCGTCCCTCATCCCCGTTGCTAAGAAGGAGATTCTCATTCCTGCCTAGTCCATCTGCAACCCTGGCGAACAACGCAACAACCAAAACAGGGCAGCCAAGGCGGTTTTGACTCCCTCATCCTCTCTTTGGTGTTTATTATTCCGATTCTGATTGTTTTTTTTCTTCCATTCCTGGTTTCCTTTCTGGTTTCCTCCATCTATCTCTCTCTCTCCCACACCCTTTCTTTCGTTCTATCCCTTCTATCCTCTCTTCTTCCTCCCCCCTTCCTTTCGCCTTCCTTTTTCTCTGGTCTCATACCGTACGATCGAGGTGAAGTCATCTGCTATGTACACTGACCCCCTTCGCATTCCCCGTCCCCTCCATTCGTCCCCTCCGTCGGGACCGTTACCTATCATTTAGTTTATTATACTTCGTCCCGGGATTTTCCTACCTCCTGGTTCGTTCCTCCTTTTCGTTCAACGCCATCGTATGACCAAAATTGATGCAAATTAATCCGCCTTGGGGGTTTCGCATCGGCTGTCCGAGCACTACTGCCTTACCTGCTGTTGCCCATCTGGCTCGAAGATCAACCGGCCAAGTATCCAGTGCTTCGGGTGTATAACTACCTCAAATCCCGCTCGGGGTCATAACGGTTCAGCCACGACGACATGGAAATTATGATGGTGATGACCTCTTAACTTGAATGTTTTCGAATCAACCAAAATCATTCCTCTATCATTACCTCTTGTTTGTCCGATTCTCTCGCTTCGAATATCTTCGGTATTAATGCGACTTTTGGACGCTCCCGCGTAAACAAGAAATCAAAAAAGAAACCAGAACAACAAAAAGAAAGGGAAAAGACAAATCCTGCCTACTGAATTGGGCATCCACATATATATATATAGGCCACTGTCACACCAGACACATCTCACTCTTAACCCCTCCCGAAACCAACACCCCCACCCCCCTGCAACTCTGCCGTTCCGTGCAGGCTTGCGACCCATGCTACATCATCTCATCACACCTAGCGCCGCCACTATGGGAATCTCTAGCAAATATTCGTGCCAGGCGAGCTCCAAGACCGCCGGCAGCTCGACCTCCACCGCTAGCGATACCTCGGATCGTTCGAGGAGCACCGCCCCGACCATCTATAGCGACCGTCCAACCTCCAAACGGATGGAGCCGACAGACACCTATGCGCAGGACCCAAGGGATTCGGCATCCACGTATGCATCGACCGCGTCGCCCGTGGACGACTCGCCCGAGCTCCCGCCACGTTTCGAAGTGACAGATCGTCGGTTGGACGCATACTCGACCGATGTGCTGCCCTCCACCCCGTCTACGTTTGGTAAACTATTTCCGTCGTCGCGACGGCTCCTGATCCGCCACGACGATGCAACCATTGACGGCAACATGAACCTGCGGGTCGACACGGTGGTCCACCACCGGGGCGGCTACCAGCAGGACGTGACGTTGTTCCATCTGCGCATGTATGATCTGTTCTCTCGGAAGTCGTCCTTCCGCCGTTACTGTCGCGAGTCAGGCCGCGAGATCTGCCATTCGGAACGAAGACCCGTGCAATCGAGTTTGGGCATGAAGCCGGCGTTTCGGCGGTCGTGGAACAGTGTGCTGGCTAGCTTGCGCCCAGGATCGAGTGGGCATGGGTCCGCCCTCACCGTGGAACCTAGGAGTCAATACTTGGGCTGTCAGGCGGCCAGGGATGAGGTGGTCGACGGCGAGGAGGACATGGATGAGGAGCGGAGTGTGCACCGGCCAGTCGCCCTGGCGGAGAACACGCTACTGGAGTTCTCCAACTATGCACGTGTCGAGATCAGGAGGCGCGGCGCCGGGCTACCCAAACGATACGAATATGAATATTGGTCCACCAAGTACCAGTGGAGACGGGAGAGTCGGCGGGAGGGCGATCTGCGGGGCGTATCCTATCACCTCTTTGATACGCGCGCGTCACGCACCATCGCCCATATGGTCCCCGACATCCTGACCCCGATGGAAGAGATCGAGGAGGAGAGCAAGGGAGGCTGGATTCCTCCGTCATCCATGTGGATCAGTGATGCGTCGGTATACGAGAAGATGCCCGATGCAGCCGAGTAAGTTGATCCTTCCCCCCCGCCCTGTTTGAGGTCGCCATGTACTTTTGTGTGGACAAGGGGGCTGACACCAACGCGCAGTGTGATAGTCGCGACCGGGTTGATGGTGCTAGTCGACGACTGCATCCGCCGACGGTGGCATTCCGACAAGTCCCCTCCTCTTGCGCGCCCGATGCGTCACTCGATCAGCAGAGGCGTGGAGCTCATAGGCCCCAAGCGACTGATTGATGAAGTGTTTCATCGACGAGGATCTGCCTAAGTCGCGCCGGGGGAAAGGTGCACGCACAACACCGCGCGAGGCTGAAAATTGGGGTTCATTTCCCCTCTGGTTGGCTGCCCTGGCGGATGCAAGGGCCTCAATTGAGTCGCATGGCGGTTTTACGAACTGACGAACTGATACTATGACTATCTCGACTGACGATCTCATGAACCTTGACCTAATGACAACACATGTTTCCTGTTCTTTTTTTTTCTTTATCTATTTTGTTTTATATTTTTATTGATTTTTCAAGCACAAGTCCAGGGTCGGGTCAGTTTCCTGTCACAAGTATGCATCCGGGTGGCTGTGCTGATTGGTTGTGCCAAATGATTTTCACCCGTTTTGTTTGTTCCATTCCATGATTTCAGCCGAATCGGTTGGCTGTCAGCGATCGATTTTTTTCCATTTGAGTTTTTGCCGGACATTTGAACCATGGATTCATTCATGGTAGGGAGGGGAACCTGATCAGCATGTATATTTTTTTTTCTGAATAGCGTGTACGCATGGTGATATTTTAGGATGTATCACGAACCCAACAATTGACTTCTTCTACTGTATCAACACAGTCCTACTACTTAGTTCTCTACCCATTTATTTTTTTTTTATTTTTTACTAGTTATATTTTGTTTTTCCAAGGATCAACACACGCCAACGCAACGGCGTCGGCACGGAACCATGGTTCGACCTGGGGATCGATTACTGCCTGACATCCATATCGCCCCCCTTCCCCTCTCTTCTCCGGTCTGGACCCCAATGATCTGGTGGGGATGGATGAATGGATGGATAGATTATCGAACGGGTCCAATCCGATTCGGACGAGGAAATGGGGAGATTGTGTGGATGATTGGATCAGAGGTGATGTTGGTGATGATGATGACCGACATCTGTTCGGATTTTATTCATTCGTCTGGGTGTTCGATTGGGGGTTCTAATTATATTCTTGGATTTGTTAATTCTGATTCTTTTGAATGGTTTTGATTAATTTCAATACTTTACTACCTATTGTTGGTGTTTGGGCTCTGGTTTTTGTTCTTTTTCATTTTATTCTATATCTTGTTTCTTTGACATTTAATTCTACTGTCTATTTTGATCTCTTGTTATATAGGTATATATGTATTTTTATTGGACTGTACTGAGTATTGACATACCCGTCGGAATGGGCAGATGTCATTTAAGCTTGTCCTGAGGCCAATGCGGGGCAGATCGGGAGCCTGACTCGCCAGAATTATTGATTTATTTCAGGTGTTCGTTGGATTTTATTTATACTTATTTGTTGATTCTACTTAACTGTGTTATTATGTGTTCTATAATTCATAATCCATAGCAATATATCCATATATATATGTGTATATATTTCATATTTTTCTATTACCCCCTTAGGCGCCATACTTCATCGTGCATCTTCCGCTCATGCAGGTTCTGTTCTGGTTCTTTTCCCTAGTCTACGGTGGTTCACAGTCTCCCTCGTAGCCGCATGTTAATCATGAAATCATGCTGGTGATGGTCGTTGACCAGAGTCATGACAGAATGATGCACGTATGTATGCCCAACACAGTGCTAGAGAACCAGTGACAAATCATTTCCTCTCCTTGGCCGAAATTCGAGGTTGGGTCTTGAACTGACCCAATTTCATTTCTTTGTTGGCTGGATAGTGTCCTGCAGAAGAACAAGGAAGATGATATGATCCATGTCCTCGATACTTTATTGTCCTGGTTCGTGAGAGGAGTAAGGTATGCCAGCAATACTTCCTACTTCCTTGACACTACCAACACACTTAGTGTCTTGACCCTGGCTAGTCTGGCTAGTTACTCCTACGTACGTCCTTCGGTTCTTCAGTCCTTTCTTCCGTTCCAACCACAATCGTGTTAGTTCATGCAGAGCGGCCCGGTCTGTGGCCGTTTAGATTCAGGGCTGAGACTCGTTCGAGATCTTTTTTCTATTTACTTATCCTTGTTATTATCCTATATATTCTGTTCTGGTTTTGATTGAAATTGGAATTGATTAAATTGATTTTTAATTGTCCATTTTTCACTCTGATTAATGATGAGCTGGCATGGTCTCTAGTCCCGCCCTGGATCTGGTCTGAGGGGCCCTACTGGCTGCTGTGAATCAATTATGCTGTCAATTCGTCGCTTCTTCTCTACGGGACCCTCCTTCTGTCCTCTTGCTCTCCGCTTTTGGGCAACTAGACTCTTTTCCACCTCTGTCCCCCTCCTCCCTAGCTGTCTTTACAGTGTTGTGTTCCTCCGCCATTGATTCCTTCCAGAAGGGCCTTTTCTCTCTGTTGGTCTCTCTTGGTCTCGCTTTCTGGGGTCTTCCACTTGGAGCATATATGAGGCGAAGGAGGTTTGTACCCGACTGCTACGGTCCTGTTCGCGAGACCAGGGGCCGCAGAAGAGGAGAAAGAGCCCCATTTTCAAGGCGACAAACGGAATGTCGTCGACTTAGCACTGTTGATCTTTTACTTTTTGATTTTTCTTTTTCGTTTCCACTTGATGTGACTTAAATATTTTATTTACAGTTTTATTCGACATTTTTTCTATTCCTTTTTCTCAACTTTTATACCTGGTTCTTTTTTTAATTGATTTCTTTTTTTTAATCCCTTCAACATCAACTGAGTTGTCACCTATCATCCTCTGTACAACACCGTCATCGTCGCTTCACCTCATCCTTAGTGTCGACAACGGTTCTGTTGACTGCTTTTCCCCATGACCATCCATGGGTCTGTCAGGTCTGTGTGGAGACTAGTGGCCCTTTTCCCTGGTGTTTTTGGCGTTTCTTCAAGGGTACATTCTCAGTCGGCGTGCGCCGGGCCGTTCCAGCTTGCAGCCTCAGAATGATCCGCATGTTTCTCCATGCAACCAGCGTTCCTTGAGTGGAGGATGGGTGTGCCAGGGAGGAGGAAGAGGCGGGGCGTGTCGGGATGGCGAGGGAGGGAAGGTTGCTGACGCTGTGCCATATCCACCTCCCAACCTGCATAAGACCGTCTGGTTAGGTTCGATGATTAGGTTCCGTGTTTGTCTCGCCAATTTGGGTCCTCCCTTGCCCTTGGTTGACGCTTTGGATGGGGTTTATATGACTGTTCCCTCCCCGCTCCCCGTATCGCTCCAGGTGTCGAGTGAAGTCTCCAATTCGGTTCCCTTGACCTATATATATATACACATTGTCCTTTGCAATTTAAAAAAAAAGAAGAAAAAGAAAAAGAAAAAGACAACGAATAATTAAACAAGAAAAAAAATATATTGACCAACAAAACCAGAAAAAAAAGGGGGGGTTCAAAAGTTCAAAAAGATAGAAAAGATCAAAAGCACACAGACAAGAAAAAAAGAAGAAAAAAAAAAGGACTCTAACTATATATATATATATTGTTGGTCTTCATCAACTCTCTCTTCTTCCTCCTCTCTTTTCTCATTCCATGATCAATTGACTCTTGAACTCTCTTCTCTTCTCTTCTCTTTGACAACGCAACTGCTGGGAGATCTTTCCGCCCCTAAAGCATACCGTTCCTCTCGTTGTCTCCGTTCGACACACACATCGGTCTACTGCCCCTCCTTAGCTTGTGTCTAGTCAAGGCTCAGAGCTCACTGTGTCTACTATCCATTCCCCACCACGCCGAACTCTCCTTCCGGTCACCATGTCTCAAACAGCAAATTCTCCGGCCGGTGGTGGTGGTGGTGCTCGGGTCAATTGGCAGACGCAACTTCAAGGTATGCCCCACTTCTCTGCAATCCTTTCAGGGAGGAGAGTCCTTTGATTCCATATGCTAAGAACTACTATCCTCCCAAAGAGTACTGCCGGAAATCCAAAATACAGGCCCCCGTCTACAATATTTTTTCCGAACGCCGAGGTATGAACTAAGTCCTTTTCGCTTCCCCTACTCCGTCTCTTTTCCCTCCTCCCGTGAACTTCCCCACCGGTCACCCCTCCCGCGTTGGATGGGGGGGTGGCGATGGTTGCAATCCCGTCTGGATGGGATGAGGATCCATTTCACCTGGGTACGCATGTGTGTCTCGGCATCAGGGAGTGGAGTTTTTGCTGTTCTTCACCGACTTTTGGCTTCAAATCGTGTTGTACCAATCCATTTCACTGACAATTGGATGTTTTCTCTTCCTTCGTTTTCTAGGAGGTCGCACGGCTTGGTCTAGTTCCGTCGCAGTCTCAGGCCAGACCCTCGTGGCACGATATTGGTATGATGGCGAGAATGTCAACAATGCCAAAGAAGACGCCGCAGAAGTCGCCCTATCGTGGTTGACTCCAGGTTCTTCGTCCGCCTACACCGGGCAGTCGCCCTCTTATCAGCAGCCCAGATTCAATTAGCCGGTGAGCCCCGGCCTCTCCCTACCTGCAACGCCTCAACCTTTCCTCCCCTCCCCGCCCCCCGGGGGGCGTGTGGCTCCTTCGTCGAAAAAAAACGGTGGTTATTGCTTGACGTTATAATGTGGAAATCTCCGGGAATGGGGGGGAGGGGGGGGGGGGCTTGCATGTCATCTCGCTTTGTTTCGTTCGCGTGCGACCTTTTTTCCGGATTGATGCCGATTCTTGGGGCCTCGCAGACGTGTACAACATTCGCCGGCTATCCGCCGTCCTTTTTGTTGTCGTTGTTGGTTCTCTCAGTCCCAGTGGCTGTATCAAGCGTATGGGCGGGCCTATGGATAAATCGCTGACCCAGTTGGCATCAGGGTGTCTGCTGCACTCGATTTTGGATTCCTTGTTTCATATTTTGGTGGATTTTCTTCTCTTTTCTCTCCTCTCCTCTTCACTTTTTTCTTCTTCTTTTCTTTTGTCCACTTCGACTCGTTTCTCTTTTTTTATTCGTGGGATTTTCTCCTTCTTACCCCTTTCTATGATCTGCGTCGGTTCTTCTGGATCTTTTCCTATTTTTGCCGTCGCAGCTTTCCCTGATGTGGTTCCCAAGCGTGGTCTGGTCGACCCACTTGTGTACTTTTTCCCTTCTTGTGCGCCTGTTTCCTTATAAGTTTGTCATATTGCGGCAGATCTTGTGGCACGATGTTTTTTGACGACAGATAATGATGACATATTACGAATTTGAGCTTGCGTTTGCTTCTGCGGAAGACATCCTGTTAACATGATTCTTTGCATGCCTGCTCTGCTGCCTCCCGACGTTGTTAACTTGCAGAATCTACTATTGCCCTGACGGGAAACTTAACAGGTTTTCCGTGTCCAGTCTGGTGAACGGGTGTGGATCATAGGAGAGGCGGTCTGCTGCGGTCAGACATAGCACTAGGAAAAGTTTTATTTTGTTTTACTTAATTCTTTTATTAAGTTCTTCCCCTTCCTTCCTATCTACACGGTTGGTGTTAATGTTGGAGTTGAAGCTCAGGTGTTGATCTTCTATGGTTGATTGATTGATAACAAGCTCGCTACAGTTTATATTGCGTCCATTATATCTTGATTTACTTTATATACTGCTTGCCCCGTTTCCCATCTCATACCCACCACGATGACACCCGTGACCTCCATTGACCGACAACCAGACTGAACGGAGATTGACAAGAGAGCTGTCAGCTTAACACGAAACAAATGTCAATTCTACGGAGAATAGTCTAGAGAAGACTATATCCAGCCTGATGGTTGAACTGTCTGGCATTCCGTCATATCCATGAGCTTAACCTTATTTGTGTGGCTCACGTGTGCGCGTACCATGGAACCGGACGGACGCTCGGGTCGGACAACCATTAATTTTATTTTCAGTTCCTGGATTTGCTTGGGGTAGCCCGGATCCGGTTAATCACTTGGCGTTCCTCTTCAGCTTGTTTATTTATTTGATTTTAGTTTTTCTTCTTTGATTCTTGGTTTTATTTTTTTTTGGTTATGGTATCTACTAATATCAGTCCACTCACCTATATATATAAGGTCATTGCAAGAATAATTACAGACCAGTCATGTCCATCTATAGTGTCGGTTTGATTATACGAAGCAGATCTGCAGTATGTTCTCCGTACATTCCGGCTGGCTTACTGTTTGGCACTGCCAGCTTGCTCGAGACTTGTACAACTATCGCAGCTACTTACGACTAAACTCTATCAACTCTACTTTGTGTCCAACTCAATGATATTGATATTCTGACATGTCTGCCACACTGCGTTGCTGCACAATCAACCCAACACAACCACAACCACAACCACAACCAGCAATACCCACCCATCAACCTCCCTCACCCCAGTCTTTAAACTATATTATATAGATAGATACTAGAAGTATCATACAAACAAACGAACGCAATAAAGCAATCAAAAAGATCAATACGCAAACCTCTCCCCCCCAACCCCCCTCCCATTCCTCCACCCGTAATAAAACCTCAACAGCACACACCCCGCAGCAACAAACAAAAGCAATCCCGCATTCACCCAATGCCCCGTCGGATACCCTATCTTCGCCTCCTCGCTCTTGTAGATCCACACGCCTACGATCTGCCCGGGTGCTCCGAACGAGACGTTCAATGCGATGGCGAGTCCTGTTCCGGCTGTGGAGTGTAGGTTTGCGGAGAGCCAGCCGAGGAGGGGCGGAATGCAGGCGAAGGAGCCGCTTGCGGCTACTATTAGGCAGCCGTAGCGGTGCTATTCTTCTTATTAGCTTTTTTTTTTTTTTTTTTTTTTTTTTTTTTTTTTTTCTTCATCATTTTAAGGGGGATTGTGTAGGGTATGTACCAAGTATGCATCCGCGGGAAGAACAGCAGACGCAAGGAATCCCATCGCGCCGATAAAGGCGAAGAGAGCGGAGTGGAGGCCGCGACTGTATTGATTAAGCATATTAGTATATATACCTATGTATATAGTAAACAAGAAGAGAAAAGGTAGACAAACCTATTGAAGTAATCTGCCGACCAAGCTACAGCCGTCGTGACGACGTAGGCGACGGCCCACGGCGGCACGGTCATTAGCTGCGCGCGCAGGCTTGTGTAGCCCAGCCCGCTGGTGATGGCTGGGGTGAAGAGACTGAGGCTGGAGAAGGGGGTTGAGATGCCGAAGTAGATCTGTTGTAATATTAGAACTTGTATTTCAAATGGTGTGGTTACCCCTGTGATAGTGGTGGATATGATACCCGGGGTTATATGCATGTGCATACCCATGTGCCGCATAGAAAGGAAAGAAGGAAGAACATACAGCATAATGCGCATACAACCTCCAATCAGTCAGCACCCCCTTCGCATCCTCCCAAGTCATAGCGTGGGCGCCTCCCTTCGACCCCTCTGTTTCCAGTCTCCGCGCAGCAAGCGCCTTCTCCTCTTCACTCAACCAAGCCGCAGACTCAGGATAATCAGGGAGCAGGAACCAGACCAGGAAGGCAGATGCGCAGGACGGCGCGCCCTCAATGATGAACAGCCATCGCCACGCGGACAGTCCGTGCACCTGGTTCATGTGGCCCACGCCGTAGGCGATCGCGCCGCCGAAGGCCCCGGCCAGGGTGGCGGATGCGAGGATCAGTGCGACGCGCATGGATCGCTCTGACGTGCGGTACCAGAATGTGAGGTAGTAGACGAAGCCCGGGAAGAGACCGGCTTCCATTGCTGGGGGGGTTTAGTATAGTACTCTATTATCTTGGGGGAGAGGGAGGGGGAATACCTCCGAGAAGGAAGCGGATGCCTGTGACTTGGGCGTAGTTGTGTGCGCCGCCTAGGCCCATCGTGGCTGCCCCCCAGGAGAGCATGAGGAAGGAGATCCATCTCTTGAAGTCTGGTGAGCTGGAATTCGACTCATTTGGAAGGGTCACGTACGCTAGGTCTGAGCTTCTTGAGGAGGTAGTTCGAGGGGACCTCGAACAGGGCGTAGGCAATCAGGAATACCATGAGTGCGATGCTGGAACGTGTTAGTGGTATGCCATGGACGTAACATGGCTGTCGACTAGAGCATACGTAAACTGATAAGAAGTCATGTTCGTCTCCGTAAGGAGATCATCGCCCGTGTCTTCGTTGAGGATTTTGGCATTGCCTGCTCTTGTCAGCATGTGTTTGAGGAGCACAGCGTGGTGCACACACACCTATATTAGACCGATCTAGATAGCAAAGCAGATAGATGGCGGCGCATAGAGGTACGATGTGCATGTCCTGCTTCCACACTAGGCGCTTTTCGAGCTCTTTGTACCCGGGGTCGTTGCTCTCCCCAGAGCCGGCGTTCTGATAATAGAGTTAATTACGTATGTACTGCGTCAATGGTGAATGCTGCGTACCTCCAGGCCCAACTCCGTGTCGTCTGCATGGTGGCTCTTTTCTTGACCGTTCATGATTAGGACTCTCCTGAGACTGAAGCTCAATAGCAATTGTTCTAGCAGGGGAAGAAGCACGCGAAGAGCTTTCAGGGACTAAGTTAGCTCCGATGGGGTTGACTACATCCCGCATAAAGGGCGCTAAGTGAATCTGGACCACAGTTGGAGACACCAACTCACAAGAGTCGGTCTATCTCCGGGAGGGGGCAAAATTCCATGTCCTGCAAGGGTATATGCATGTTGGCTGACGAGACACGACCCCGCGATATACAAGGATCCCAGCATCTACACATCCGATCTAATCATCTACCGTCAGATCGCGAATCCCGGAGGTTAACCTCCGCATGGGCCAAGAAAGGGAAAAGCCGAGAGAGAAATACCGGACTGCGGGGAACCCCTTTTTACATACCGGATACCGTGCACAAAGTTATACATTACCGGGGTGGTACAAACGGTGCAAACAGTGCAAACGGTGCCTGATCGGCAAATATTGATTTATCGCTCGATACTGATAGAGAGATAGCATCGTCTGGCTTTCTCCATTCCTAGGCCGATTCGCCAGCGCTTCTTCCCTTGATGACATGCGCCCGCCCCCGTTCGCATATTTCTGCATTTTATAGCCGCTTTCGTCCGCTGCTGGCCCGTCCGACACCCTCTATTATTCACCGCGGGGCTCCTGTCGCAACCATGGCCACTGATGCCACCCCGCGCAAGTCGATGCCGTCTGCGCTGACGTTTGATCTTCACGCGAAATGCTCTGTATGACTTCACTGTTATCTATTACATGTACCATTCTTCTAGTTCTAACTTGACCCTCTCATGTAGACTACCAAAGCACGCGCCAGCACCCTCCGTCTTCCTCATGGCGAGGTCCCTCTGCCGATATTCATGCCCGTGGCCACGCAGGCCTCCCTGAAGGGACTTACGTACGATCAGCTCCGACAAACGGGGTGCATGCTATGTCTGAACAACACATATCACCTGGGACTGAAGCCCGGTCAGGCGGTGCTGGACAAGGTCGGAGGCGCGCACAAGTTACAGGGCTGGGATCGGAATATCCTGACTGATAGTGGGGGGTATGTTTGATTGTATTGAGAGGGAGCCTTACTCTGCTCGGGAAGCTGACTGTCTGCGCAGGTTCCAGATGGTCTCTTTGCTCAAACTGGCCAATGTCACGGAGGAGGGCGTGCGGTTCCTGAGTCCGCATGACGGTTCTCCCATGTACGTTGTCATCCTTTCGACTCGTGACCACGCCATGCTAACTGAGGTCTAGGCTATTGACGCCAGAACACTCAATCTCGTTACAGAATTCCATCGGCTCCGATATCATCATGCAGCTGGACGACGTGATCGCGACCACCTCGCCCGATCATGCTAGGATACACGAGGCTATGGAACGGTCAGTCCGCTGGTTGGACCGCTGCATCGATGCGCACAAATATCCCGAGACGCAGAATTTGTTCTGTATCATCCAGGGAGGTCTGGACCTCGAGCTGCGCAAGATCTGTTGCAAGGAGATGGTGGCGCGAGATACTCCTGGGATTGCTATCGGCGGTTTGTCTGGAGGAGAGGCCAAGGAGGAGTTTTGCAAGGTGTATGTTCATCTTTTCTCTGTATCACCTTTCTGTCTGCTGACCCGCCATCTCTAGAGTCGACACATGCACGGACCTCCTGCCGGAGAAGAAGCCGAGATATGTCATGGGCGTGGTATGTATCTGTCATCTTTTTCCAACCCCAAGACACGAATGCTGACAATGTGAAGGGGTACCCTGAAGACCTGGTCGTTGCGGTGGCTCTAGGAGCCGATATGTTTGACTGCGTGTGGCCCACACGAACAGCGGTAAGTAATATTAATGCAGCCCTTGATTTCGAGTCTAACATCGCCAGCGATTCGGAAACGCCGTCGTCTCCTCCGGAAACCTCAACCTCCGCAACCAAGCCTTTGCAGAGGACTTTGGGCCCGTAGAAGAAGGGTGCACATGTGCCACCTGCCGGCCCAAGTCAGAAGGTGGTCTGGGGATTAGCAGAGCTTACCTCCACCACCTGGCTGCTAAAGAGACTGTTGGGGCTCACCTGTAGGTCTTCCCTTGCTCCTATGGAATCCCTACTATGCTAACATAACATGACAGGCTTACCATCCACAACGTCCACTATATGCTGTCCTTGATGGGATCCGCCCGACAGGCGATTATTGAAGACCGGTTCCCGGCGTTTGTGCGAGAATTCTTCCGCAAGATGTATATCGAGAAAACGAAGTATCCGGGTTGGGCGGTGGATGCCTTGCGGGGTGTGGGTGTTGATTTGATGGTAGATTAGACTTTTGGATTATGATAGCGTATTCTTTTCCCTTTCTTTCTTTTTTACTTTCTTTTCATTCTTCTTCGCTCTTTTTACACTGTAGATGGTCGAGCTTGGCAGGGAATTACCAATTGAGATATCTCTTATCTTTTTGTTGGACACATGGTGTCCGGGCTGATATGGTCTAGTACCAATCAACTGAACTGATAGATACAGATGGGCTATTACTCTATGACTGAAGTTGATCTGTAGTTGTGAATGTCTCCACACCAGTCATATCCTAGAGTGACCACGGAGCAATGGTGCGATGTAACCCCCGAGCCGTCGTGAAAGTATATCCCTCACCTTTTAGTCTGATCCATCACAGTCGCTTTGATCTAAACCCTCGAGATTAACTGGCCTTGCTTCTCTGATAGGGGATAATGTCTCAAAGCGAGTGTTTCTGGATTTCAACTACTGGAAACAATAGAGTCCACGTGACCGGATGGTAATCGCACGTGACTGCGTGTCGCGTCTCCGCGCGTCGGGATCATCAATTTCATCTCCATCCCCAACTCCATCTTTACATCCACAACATATACCCCACTAAACCGATCGAAAGACATATATCATATCCCACACGGCAGGAAAGAGAAAATCAAAGAAAGAAACCAATCTACAGAAGAGAAGAAAAGAAAATGTCCCCCTCCGCCACCAACCCCTCCAACCCCCCCCACGACCCCTCCCACGAAGAGCACCAATACCTAAACCTCATCCGCGACATCCTCTCGCAAGGCGAACACCGCGCCGACCGCACCGGCACAGGCACACAGTCGATCTTCGCCCCGCCCCAACTCCGCTTCTCCCTCTCCAAGCCCAACCCCGCCGACCCCGCGTCCCCAATTCCGGTCCTCCCCCTCCTCACCACCAAGCGCGTCTTCCTGCGCGCCGTGCTCTCCGAACTCCTCTGGTTCATCTCCGGCAACACTTCCTCGCAGCCTCTCTCCGAAAAGGGCATCAAAATCTGGGACGGCAACGGCAGCCGCGAGTACCTCGACAGCGTGGGGCTGTCGCACCGCGAGGCAGGCGACCTCGGCCCCGTGTACGGGTTCCAGTGGCGGCATTTCGGGGCCGAGTATGTCGATGCGCAAGCGGATTATACCGGCCAGGGCGTCGATCAGCTGGCGGAGGTGGTGCGCAAGCTGAAGCAGAATCCGTTTGACCGCCGCATTATCCTGTCCGCGTGGAACCCGGCCGATATGAAGAAGATGGCGCTCCCGCCTTGCCATATGTTTGCGCAGTTCTACGTTTCGTTTAAGCGCGGTGGTGGCAAGGGCGAGCTGTCGTGTTTGCTGTACCAGCGGAGTGCGGATATGGGGCTTGGGGTGCCGTTTAATATTGCGAGTTATGCGCTGCTAACGCATATGCTGGCCCATGCGGCGGATTTGTTGCCTGGTACGTTGGTGCATACTATTGGCGATGCGCATGTCTATGTCGATCATATTGAGGCTGTGCGGGAGCAGCTTGAGAGGGAGCCGACTGCTTTTCCCGAGTTGAGGATTAAGAGGGAGGATCGTGGGAGTGAGGTTATTGACGGGTGGAAGGAGGAGGAGTTTGAGGTGCTGGGGTATCAGCCGCATAAGGCGATCAAGATGAAGATGAGTGTGTAGGTCGTGATGGGGGGTATGTATTTATGATATCAAATGAGTTATTAGACAGATCGCGATGACTATATTGGAAATATGCACAATGCTCTAATGACACCCGGGGATCATCACCCAGGCTATGCGAAACCAACTCCAAAAACACAACACAAACAAATAAAAAAAAAGGTATATCATCACTTCACTTCCCCAGCATAACGCCTGCCCCCCTCAACATAACAAGCGTATTCCCCTGCGCAACCCTCCCCCCACCAATCGACTCCCCAAACTCCAAAAACTCCCCGGACTCCAAATGAAACACGCGCAACCGCTCCTCCTCCCCAGCCCGATTATTCACATTCTCCACCCGCAGCCTCCTGGCCGCATCGTCCAACACCCGCCCCACCTTCCACCGCGAGTCGAAGAAGAATTCCCCCCGCGGCGGATCCGTCCGCTGCGTCTCCGACGTCCCAACAACATGCAAATATATCCTGCGATCAGCAGGAACCCCCGCGTCACCCTTAGCCACCTTCTTCAGCGCATTCAGCTGCATCGTCCGCGCAGCGGGACTGTTCGCCTTCGGCGCAGGCGTCAGCTGCTGCGTCTTGTCTTTGCCCCACGTGCGCACCCGCGCGAACATCGACTTCAGCGCGTCATTCCCTCCTCCTGCAACGCCAGTACCAGCCTGGCGTCGTCCTCCCGGCCCGACCCTCGCGCAGTCGTGCTCCTCCCGCAGCCGATGTCGCAGACAGTGCAGTTTCCTACAGTCCGGACACCGCACGCCGGGATCCTTGAGTGTGTTGACGAGCGTTTTGCACTCCGTGTGCGCGCACTGGTCGGAGTTATGGATCGTGGGCTTCTCCGGCGCCGGTCCGCGGGTGCTGGCTGCGCCGGCGCGCCGACGCGCCCATTCGCCGGCGTGCGCGCACCGGTGTGTGGTCTCTGTGCGGTGGTCGAGGCAGTACGTGCCGTGGCAGGATTCGCACCGGAAGGGGAGGAAGTCTAGCTGGTTGCAGTATTCGAATTGGCAGTGGCGGCCGATTGACTCTAGGTCTTTGTCGGCCATTTGCGTGAAGGAGGAGGCGTCGGGGGGGTCGGATTCGGCGCTGGAGCCGCGGCCGGCTTTGTTGATTGTTATGGGGGACATGGTTGTGTTGTTGTTGTTGTGGTTGAGTTGTGATGAGTGTAAGGGAGAGGGGTATAGGACTTCCTGGCCCCCGGTGGACTTGCGGGGTGTTTATTGAGAGTAGGCAGCTGGGAATGCGTAATCAGGCTGATTGATCAACGAGGCGGAGATGGCGCCTCGTGCTTGTGGCGGCTTACTCAGCCTTATGGGTGGCGGGGAGGTAATACGAAGGGTTTTTGTGCTGGATTTGGGGGGATTACTAATAGTGCACTGGACTGTACTATATTTATCTGATCTCGGAGATCGAGCGGAGATAACAGCGCTACCAAGTATTGCTCTAAAGGATTGCTCTAAGATCAGGTAGATCAGGCAGATTGAATTTCATCGCAAGAACTGAGAGCGTACTACTCAAACAAAAGGGGTATAAACAAATGTAGGGACAATGATAACCAGCCGTGTAGTATCCTCCCCGAGACGACCAACCATCTTAAAGGGGGCAGTGACAACCCTTTCAATAAACGCCATTGAAATAACAGGGGAAAACAACAGAATATGAACTAGGATGGAATATTTGAGATCTGGAACTTCAGTTGTTCTCATTTTCACGCTTGAAATGTGACGGAGTCGATTGATTCATGCCCAATGGGTTGGGATGGGCGTGCACATTCGGTCGCTGATTCTCACTGCTAGGACCGCTCGGCGCAAAAGGGATCGGACTGTTCGATGTGAAGATTGGCAGCCCATTTCTGGTTGGAGCGGTTGATACTGGCGCGGAGTATGTTGTATTGTGAAGGCGGATGTTTTCCGGTATGGGTCCAGGTATGATGGGCGGTGGAATTGCACTGCCAGTAGAAGGCACCTGCGGTGCAGTTGGGGCCGGTCTGTCCACTGTACCGTCCCAGCCATCCCAGCCATGCGCAATGGGAAAGTTGGCCATTTCGGGGCCGGATGTGGTGTTTACAGGGGTCGGGGACGTAGTGTCAGGGGACACGAGGGGAGAGCTAGAGGGCCGTGTCTCCTGTTTGACTCCGCTTCCGGCGTCCTGATGTGTGGAAGGGTTGGAAAACAGCCCTCTACTAGAACCAGAACCTCGTGAGGACGCTTTGCTCGTAGCGATATGCAGGTCCTTGGAACTGGTCCGTTTGGGCGGCATCGGTCCCCGCGAGGTCCCTTTGGCGGTCCTAAGCTGCTCCCGAGCCGCATGCTCTTCTGGAGATGGCACTTTCAGCTTGATGTTGAGTTTGCGGACACCGGCGGTTAGGCTATCCACGTCGCCTGCCGGGGGGGCTGTCTCATTACTGCTTGGAGCAATGGGCGTCGCCTCCCCTTCGTCCTTCGAGGTCGGCGGCAGATAATTGGACGGCACTCGCGGAACAGGGGGTGCTGTCTTGGGGCTGGTAGGGCGTTTAGGGGTCCCGGATCGAGAGCTGCTAGGCCGTCGTGGTCCCGGTGCTGCTGCTGCGTCCCGGTCGAGACCTGCATTTCCTTCTCCGGTAGGCGAAATCCGAGAGGGCGGCCTCGAACTGGGATGAGCATCGGGTTCCGGGGTCGATGTAGATGTTGCGTTGGTACTTTTTCGGCGGGTTGTACGGGCCTCCGGCGACTTTCTCGTAGATGGGTCCGGCAGGCTACTGACACGATCGATGGTAGTTCTCCGGTTGTTGTCCTTGAGAGTCGCACGCTTGGGAGTCTCAGCCTTGGGTGTGCTCGGCAGTGAAGCCTTTGGCTTTCTCGTGCGGAGTTTCATCCGACTCTCCTCGGGAGTGGCTGGGGCTGAGGGGGGTTTCTCAACGACGTTCACATTCTGGCGCTCGCGGCGCAAGCGGGAGGCCTCGGCATTGAGATCCTCCGGTCGACAGCTGTTGATCTGCCGCGCGGTGGGAATGAGAATTTTGGACAACTCGTGCGCTGCGGTTGCCCAGCTGACGGGGGGCAAGGGAGGCAAGGGAGGGGCCTCGGGTTCACTGGCCTGCGAGCCGGTCGATTTCCGATCGCGCGGGGGCGTAACCACTTTCGCGGAATAGGACTGCGTTGGGGCAAAATAGGTTGGGGCGGACTTCTCGCGCTTGGTCGTGGTGATGGGGGGCGGGTAGACCAATGCTTCCAGCTCCTCGAGCACGACGGGGGACCACCACCCGCTGTCGTAGGCAGCTTCGAATGCCGAGGACTGAGCGTTAGTTGGGCCCGTGTCGTACAGACCCAAGCGGTCTGTCATCTCCGAAGCCAGTCGGTCGATCTGTTCGTCCTCGTTCTCTCGAGCATTCAGTCGCGTATCTCCCAATGCGGACAAATGACTTAGAACACCGCTCGTCAGGGCGCGATTGCTATAGCCGCCTTCCAGAACACTGATCACTCGTCCGTCGACCCCGAGTCCTTCCTCCTCCGCCATGCGCACCACATCTGCGGTGAATCTGGCGTAGAAGTCGGTGGGCACGTTCGCTTGATGCCTCTGCATACCGGACCCTTCCCATTCACTCGCATCAAATCCGGCCGAGATGAAGATGGCCGCCTTGGGCGGTGGACCGTTGGGGAGACTGTTGAGGCGCTCCGTGTGCATTCGCAGGAATGCGCGGGCCTTTTCGATCAAGACGGTGTACTTCTTGGCATATAAATCCCAAAATTCTAGATTCGACTTCCATGGCTCGAGGTGGACATTCCATATCGACTGGCCATGGGCCTTGTCGATGCACACGCTCGCGTTGCGAACCTTGTCCAGATCGCCCATCTCGCAGGGGTAGGAGTTGATATCGTGGAGGCTGAAGTATCCGGTCATGGCCTTTCGGTAGCTGGCCGCATTCCGGGGCGCGGTCACGGCCTTCCGATTTTGCTCCCATGTAATCGCCTGGGAGCCGTCGCCGTGATGCAGGTCAAAGTCCAGGATCGCCGCGTGGGTCAAGCCGTGCGTCATGGCGGCGTAGGAGATGCCCACGTGGACGTTGTTGATCCAGCAGAATCCGGATGGATGATCCGAGGAACAGTGATGGCCGGGAGGGCGAATACAGACAAAAGTCCGCTTTGTTGCGCTGGGACCAAAGACCGCATCGATTCCCTCGCAGACACCACCAAGGGCCCCCTCCAAGGCATCCCGGGATTCCGAGCACAGGTAGAGGTCTCCTTCGTGGAAGGGAGTGTCGTTGGCGGTCGTGCTGTCCTTGCCGCTGCTGCGGGGCCTGACCAGCTCCTTGCCGTTGAGCGCCAGTCGCGATTCCGCCGCATCGCACATGCTCTTTAGGTCATCCATCCATTTGCTCCCGTGCACGTGGGTCACTGCGGGCGAGGTGAGCGCCATGGAGCGCGCGGTCTTGCGGATCTGGAAAGGCGGGACAGGTAGCTGTTGGACATCTAAATTCGGATGCGGGGGAAACCGTCCGCCCGCATAGCGGTGCGCGAGCCGAACGTAAGCCGCAGACACACCGAGCACGCCGGCTTGGATTCGCTCAGGACGCTCGACGATCGAGTTCAGGGCCGCCCTCGAGCTTCGGGGGCGCGAGAAGCGATGGCCGTAGCACGCATCGTGGACGACTACCAGCGTCTGCGACTGTAGATCGGTGGAGTTGTGGCGGTCCACCTCTCTCACGAAATGATCGCCTGCCACGGATGCAGCCGTCGGGGCCAGTTGTTCGAGAGAAGAGGGCTTCTTGGGCCCCATGGTGGCTGTGGTGGGGGATGTCGCGAACGTGGGGGACCGCGGCGATGACGGGCCTCCGCTGCTGTGGGCAGATCGCAGCGACGCGGTCGACGATCGCTTGTTCAGACTAGTAGAAGACCTTCGGTTTTCGTCCCTCAACGAGTTCGAGCTAGTAGTGCGTCGGGGGGTTGGATGTGGCTGGCAGACTGAACGCGCGGAGGGGTCGGGGGATAAGAGCGATGACGAAGAAACACCAGAGGAGAAAGGAACAGGGGTCACAACCATAGACCGATGATTCAGGTGGTCAGTGGACCGATTGGAGGTGGGTGAAGGAGACGTGGTTGATTTGGTCGCAGTGAATGAAGTCGCTTCATGGCGTTGGGAGGGATCCATGACGCAGATCGTGAACTTCCCATTTGGGGGTGGGATGAGGGGGTATTTGTGAGAGACGCTGGTGGGAGAGAGACAATGTACAGAATCTCATTTAAGACAGAGGTATTAAAGGGACAAAAGAGTAACTGAATGAATACGAAAAGGAGGAAAAGAAGAAGAGGAAGAAGAAGAAGAAGAAGAAGAAGAACAAAAGGGAGAGAACTGGTCGGGCTGGTATGTTTATCTCGCGTTTATCGCCGGTTTTCCCCTCCAAGGGGGAAATTAAAAAAATATCCAAAGAATGGTCCTTCTTCTTCTTCTTTCTCTCTCCACTCAGACAGGTCTCAATTCTCCCAATAATGGACACATTCTTTTTGTATAGCCATTCCAGTCTGAGATTGTCACCTCCTTTGTTATGTATGTCTTTCCCAGAGCGCATCGCATCGCATTGCATTGCATCGCATCTCATCGTGTCGCGACAACCCCAGCCGGTGATCGACAGACCCCATACTCCATCGGTGACCTTGCACGCAGGCGCCTGACGGGCAATGATCGACGATAATGGTTGATCCACTCGGGGTAGACTATTGTCAATGGAGTATATAGACCAAGTGGGATTGGTTTCATTCCAGAAAGACTACAGAAGATCTTTGAGAAGACCAATAATTTAATTACAAAAAACTCCACCACCCCTCCTTTATCCCCGATTCCAAACTCCTAGATCAATGATAAAAGACAAGCAGCCACTGACACCTGGACAGACACATTCAATGCATTCATTCCGAATCAAGCTTCGAGGGAAGGGCCCAAGTCTGCCTTCACAACAACCCGGTTTCGACCCTCTCTCTTTGTGGGCTTCTATCGTTCATGGCTTGTTCGAAGCCCCAACCATGAGACCTCATGATATTGATGAATTCAGAATGTCCGCGACCGAAGGGCAAACATGTGCTGGTTCCATTTCCTCCGCAGCGAGAAGGAGATCTTCTCACCGGAGCCCTCGAGGGAACTGCGCTTCTTCCGCTCGGACTTCTTCTCCGTCTTGAATCCCTTGGTCGCGTGCGCATTGCAGAAACACTGCATGTAGACCGTCTCGATCGCCACGCCAGCGCAGTCGGATTTCTTGCGGTCGGTGCAGGCCTGGTGGCCGGCATCCTCCTCGCACTGGCAGAAGACGTAGAGGGTCAGGTATTGTCGGCACATGGTGTTCGGAGTGTAATATTCGAAAGTTAGAACGGGCTCGGGACAACTCTATCTGGCCAGCAGAGAGTATGGAAAGTAAGAATAAATGTGTATTGTGGTTGATGGTGGGGAATGATGTTATTTTTTTTTTTCTAGTCCACGATTCCGCGAGCTTCCGGGCCGAAATTGTTGGGTGATCGCAGGAGGTACGGCCGCTGCAATTGTGTTCTAGGAGGATATCTTCAAGATTCCAGATTGGAGATCGATGAATGACACGGTTGTCGCTATTGCGAGAAGACTGGTACGGGCTGAGAGGTCGAGGCGACTACTGCCTGCTAGATATCAGACTATGTCCGACACCAGGCCTTTTGGTTTGCTACCCGAAAGAAAGAATGGAGGAGGATCGAAAGATCGATTGAAAGAAAGTATACAATGAAGACAGCAAGCTGAGCAAAAGAACTGACAGGGAATCAAAGAACGGGGCGAAGGAATCAGATATACCCAATCGTGAAAGAAGACGTCAGGCACAATTGGGGAAAGAAAGAAAGAGAACGATGATGGGCACATTGGGGTAAATAATGACTCTTTGACGTCAGCACGGATAGACGTGGAAGAGTGGATCAGGGCCCAAGTGTCAGAAGGGCCAGCGTCAAAGGAAGCGCTTCCCGTTACAGTTGCCTACGGTTGATGGCCATGGACTGGGCTAGATTTGCAATCTGGCGTTTCTTCACGGTCCTGGATACAGCTTTAGTCAAACTATCCATCTTACAGGAGGGGTGAAAGTTGGGTAGATCTCGTCAGGCCAGCTGCAGGACGTAATAGCATCAGTCCTCGTTGGTTCATCTGGCGCTCTGTTGGCGCCGGCCAGCAGGCAGCGGTCCAATGGGGGAATTGCCCCCCGCAGGAGGCACCTAAGAATACCATCCTTGTGACTGAAGAAGATCTATTCCCTGAAGACGTGAGGAATTATCCCAACGGTGCAGGGTGCATCATGGTGGTAATCAGGTAATCCTGTGGTTCGTGGTGCCGACTGGGCCGAACGGGTCAATGACTGGATCGGTCTCTTTCGGGATCCCCTCACGCACGAATACAACCTCGAGCACCTAAGAGCCTTGGCTGTCAGATAAAATGTCACGGCGCAAATGAAGGCCAGAAAAGAATGGAGGTGCCTAGTGATCAATAGTGGCTGAAACGATTTCATTGTGATCATGAAAGAAGAGCCAAGAGCATGAGACTGGTCATATGATCGATGCTCAGCGAGTGAATATCAATAATCGGATCAATACACGAGAAAGGTGTCTCTAGGAGTATCGACCTGCCATCACAGAGCCATACATGATACCATGACTGAAAGAGTATGAAGTATGGAAAGAGTAAATTGCAAAGTGGATCTCACTCAGCCAGGTGATCAGCCAGATGGACGGAAACGGATGAGCCGCTAATCTGTATCGGGCTAGCGTACCACTACGAGAGTTATGTCTGTTTATACATCCCTGACTAACAACTGCCGGCATAATAACGAACCCCACATATACACACGATCTCTCGTCCATCGCGATCCATCTTCATTCCCCTCTGAACACCTCCTGAAACAGAAACCTCAAACCTCTTCGACCTCACATAACACCCACCAATAACCCCAACGTAATGTCCGAGCCCACAACAATCATGCCCCCCTCCCCCACCCGAACCGCCACCCTCCTCTCCAACCTCTCCGCCGTAACCGCCCGCATCACAGCATCCTCAGCCTCCGCCGGCCGCAACACCACCAAACCCATCCGCCTAATAGCAGTCTCCAAGCTCAAACCCGCCTCCGACATCCTCGCCTTGCACTCACCCCCCGCATCGCACCTCCACTTCGGCGAGAACTACCTCCAAGAGCTGCAAGAAAAGTCCAAGCTCCTCCCGCCCACCATCCGCTGGCACTTCATCGGCGGCCTGCAATCCAACAAATGCGTCACTCTCGCGCGCGACGTGCGCTCCCTGTGGGCCGTCGAGAGCGTCGACTCTGAGAAGAAGGCGTCCCTCCTCAATAAAGGCTGGGGCGCGCGGTCTGCCGAGTTTCGCGCGGAGGACCACGAACCCCGGCTGCGGGTGTTTGTGCAGGTTAATACGTCCGGCGAGGAGAATAAGGCGGGGGTGGAACCCGTGAAGGGCGCGGTGGAGTTGTGTCGGTTTGTGAGGGAGCAATGTCCGAATTTGGCGCTGCAGGGGGTGATGACTATTGGGGCTATTGCGCGGTCGAAGGCGACGACGGCGGAGAATGAGAATGAGGATTTTGTGTGTTTGAGGGAGACGAGGGATCGGGTTGTGGGCGAGCTGGGGTTGACGGGGGAGGAGGCGGAGTTGGAGTTGAGTATGGGGATGAGTGAGGATTTTGAGGGTGCGATTGCCTTGGGGAGTGATGAGGTGCGTGTGGGGACTACGCTTTTTGGGGATCGTCCGCCGAAGCATGAGGCTAGGGTTGTATGAGCTTTTTTATAGGGTTTGACGAATGACGATTATCGTGTATCTATTACTAAAAGAGGGAGAGTAGGAGGGGGCTCTTGCATGTCGGGCTGTTGAAAATATTGCATAACACGCCAGTCGAATGGTAATGCTGTTCGGGGAAATATACTATATACTTGGTGATCTCAATAAAATACAACCAATGGCCACCTCGCATCGCCAGCAAGATGATCAATGCGGTGAATGGAAAGAAGAGAGAAAGGAAAAAAGAGGAAAAAAGAAAGAAAAGGCTGATGAAGATTAGTTATTAGACAAGGTTCGAAATGTGGACGAGTTTGCATTCGCAACCACTCCATTAAACTGTGTACACGTCTTCGCGCAGTCGTCCCTGAGACAGTCTCTGCTCCATCTGCTTGGCCAGCGCCTGGGGAACGAGTTCTTTGGTTGCCCGAATGGTCACCCGATACATCTACGTAACTCCGATTAGTTTTCCATCCACTGTCACAGAATAACGGAAGAAAGAGACTTACCCGCTTCTCGTAATTGGGCTCCAACCGCAGGAGACACCCCGTTTTGCCATCGGCGAACTGGAACACCGCACATCCGACAATATTGACCGGATTCGGGTCCACGCCATCCAGGATCTTCCACCGGAGACTCTGCACAAGCCATCGCGTGAATGTCACGTCAACGTCCTTCGCTTTCGCAGTGGCCCCGAACGTGCTCTGCGCCTCCAGCGGCCCCCCGCCGATCTGCCTCCATCGCTTGAAGAACTCATCCGTAGGCAGCGTCGACGGCTCCATGTACCGGTGCATCAGCACCGGAAGCTGCAAGGTGTAAGCCTGCAGCGCACCGGCCAGGTAGGAGATCCGGATCGTGGGCGCATCGAAGAAGGGACCCCGAGACTCGAAGAAGAAGGTCTGCTGCGTTTGGCCCGATGCCGGCACCGAAGGCTCTGGGATGCTCTTGCTGTCCGACTTCAGGTTCGGCGCGGACTTATTGTCCAGGGTCGTTGTCAGCGAGCCGAGTGGGAATGTTGCCTTGTTGGTCAGGTAGATCTTCACCACACCCAAGTGGCCACGATACTCCGACCGCATCCCAACCTGGATCTGGGCATCCTCGAAGAGCACCCCCTCCTCTCCAAAGTACAACCGGTTGTACCCGATGTGCCAGTCGGGTGTGAGATGTGCCGCGCTGGCCATATTGGGGGCCGGCGCTGAGGGAACGCTGAGGTCCAGTCCCGCTAGGTCACCTGACGCGCTCGAGGCCCCCGTGGGAGTCATTCCATTCGCTCCGGTCTTGTTGCCGTTGACGATCGTGGTGAAGGATCGCTTGAGTCCCGTGTTCTGCGCCATGAGGACCTCCTTCTTATCGATATTGGCGTCCTTGCCACCCACAACCCAAGTCTTCTTGTCGCTGGTACCGGCTGTCCTCTGGTGGAGGCGAGACAGGAGGATCGAGGCCCTCTCAGAGAAAGGCGGCATCTCATCACAGACCGTCCGAAGAAGATCGTCGGTGGGGAGCGTCGCGAGCGACAGATATTCGAAAGCACGCTGCTGCAACTCGGAATCCGGGGAATGACTGTACAGACGGAATATGTGCAGGAGCTGCGGTTTAATCTCGGGGAAGAGGTTGACGAATTTGACAAAGGACGACAGGATCATTGCGCGCGTGTTGTCGGTGCTGGTGATCATCTTCGCCTGCAAGGCCAAAAACTGCTCGATGGGGCTTGACCCCTGGTTATCGGCAATGAGATGGCCGAACTCGCCTAGGACGTAGCATCCGATTTTCACTAGACTCTCATGGCATTCCGTCTTCATGTAATTGAGCAGGGTCAGTGCCGCGTACGCCTGCAACTCTTCGTTGTTTGTCACGATCTGGATAACACGTTGCCACACTTCATCGTTGACATGATCTCCTGCGAGAGACAGAAGTTTCAAGGTCATGTCAATGTACCACTGCGCATCGGTTGCGTACTTCTCTGTAAGAATGGCAACCTTGAGGACCATTTCCTCCCGGATGGCATAATCGGCCGTCTGTAGGTAGCGTAACAGCTCATTCACAATCGGGCCCGCGTTCGTGGTGTCGCACATGCTGTAAATCAGATCCAAACCCTTGCGTCGCACACTAATGTCCCGGTCCCGCAGGGACCCCAAAATGATGTTCTGATGCTTCTTGATGGGATCCAGGGTTTCCGCCCGGGCGGCGAAATGGGTCATGGCTTCCAAGCCCAGATACCGCACGTTAGTTTCCCTAGACTGGATGTATTTTCCTAAGCGAGTCGAGATCTGCATCATAAGGCCGTGCTCAGTGTCGAGGTGAATCAGCAGATTGATAGCTTCGAAGAGCACTGCATTTTGCGCATTGTTTTGTTGCACGTTTTTCGGAGTGTCCATGGCTACATGCATGATCTGTTGCAGAGATTCACGAATAATTTCACGAACATGGCTGTCATCTGGATAGGGTTAGCCATGAGCATAAGCAAGTATTTAGCCAGAGGACGTATACATACCCGATGGCGGGTAGTATTGTAGCAAGCGCAGGAATTTGACCTGGATCCACGGGCATGGCACGCGGTAGTAGAGATAATCAGGCGCAACGTCATTATCCACCACGACCTTCTTCAGACGTAGAGCAGCTTTCACGGCGCTTCCGCGGTACTCGTCGGGCATATCCTGTGCCAATGCCATGACGAGCGACGTTACTGACAAAGTGACACCCATGTCCGGGTCGTCCATCAACGAGATTATGCGCTCGGCCCATTCGTTCTGTACAATCCCGGGGTATTTGCGGTATAGTCGGAGGAGGGTCAAAGCGGCCTTCTTCTTAACAAACGCCTTGGAGGTCCTATGAAGCATGTGAGCACAATACGATGCCTCGGGGCAAGACGAGTCCACTCACGGCGAGATCAGTAACCGGTGCACATCCGTTGCCAGGGCCTCTCCCATTTCTCTGCCACCGACGTTGGCGACCGCATGCAACGCTAAACAATTATTCAACTCATTATAGTCCAGTAGGTCCTTGCGGATGCTGTTCACAACCAGGTGCAGCAGCTCGTGTTGTTCATGCAGGAACAGGGTGACAGCCAGATAGCCGATCTGCTTCTCCGAGTATTTGCTCGACGAGATGAGGTTGACGGCCTCCAAGTGCCCGAAATCGACATCGTACCCCTGAATGTACACGTAGAGCAGCTTGCAGACATATTTCTTCTTCTGGTAGCCGTTGAGACTACCGCTCTTGAACTTCTGTCGGATATTTGCCAATTCTTTGTTCACCCGCTTCTCTTCGAGTTCCCGCGCTCTCGCATTGCGCAAGTCAGCGATAAACTGGACCAATCCTCGCATAGACGACATGGCGGACGATTGATCATGGGTATAGTATCGAGTCGGTGGGTAGGATGGTTGGCGGCAACGAGGCCAGGGCGACAAGTTCGGTGAGAAACGAGTCGTGGTCGTGGTCGTGGTCTCCTTTCTTCCTTCACTCCCTATAAGCGCATACAGCACCGCTGGAAAGTCGGTGGAAATCCCCTATGGGAACAAAACCATGTGTGCAGGGAACAATGTATTGGTTGCACGTAATTTTCGATTATCCCCTGTGTGGCGTGTGGGACATGGCGCGCAATTAACGGAGAGCTTCGGTGAGGTGGGTGTATGGAGGGGGTCTGATAGCGCGACGGAGACAGATAGGGTGTCGGGGAGTCGCAATGCGGTCACACTCTGTCACTCAGGGGGAGGATACCAGAAAGGCACCGAGTAAGATGACAGATGAGAGAGGGTCGGGTTCGAGGGTTAATAGAGAGATTGCACCGAGGGGTAGGAGCTCTTTTGACCAGCAGGCAGATGCTCCATGCATGCATGCATTCATTTAGGGAGAACCGTGTTGAGCCACTCCCGCGGCCGATCCGGTGGAGTCACGGGATTATATTGATGCGATGTGGCGGTGCTGTGGCTGATTGATCACACACGTGATGTTTTAGTATGAGGTCTGTCTAACATCAAACATAGCTGAGTCCTAGAGTGGTACTAGTATAGTGGGTTTTTAACATTCAAACTGCCTAGTGGACTTGTTCCCTATTTTATATTCAATCTACAACGTTATCAATTGAAAGAATAATGACAGCTCAAAATCGACATCTGATTTGAATCATTCCCATGATCCCACCCTGATACATCACATGTGCATGCATCCTGCATTTAGCTTATCCCCGAGTATTCAGTGAAACCCAGCCAAATCCAGCACATAAATCATAGAAAAAGAAAAGCCCATCCCTTCGAGAACTCCACTGAACGCCATAACCCAGGGACCCTAACAACAACCCCTGTCCAAGCAGACATCCTCACCCCACTCTATTTGTGTCCATGGTGAAGATGGTGAGTATGATGGGCACTATGGCTAGTGAAATCGGTCTCGATATGCTCGGCCGCCGATTCCACCGCGCTGACCTTCTCACAGGTGCAGGACTCTAAAGGAAACAAATCAGTTGATGCTAGCGGATTGTAATGTTCCAGAAATCCCAACTCACCGGCGCCTCTCTTTCCACAGGGGCAGGTTGCGCCCGTGACGGGGTGGTTCTCAGTCACGGCGCGCTCGCACGTACATTGTCCCGCGGGGCGAGATCCTGGAGGTGTCAGTGCCATCATTTCCACCAATCGCAACATTTTTCCAGAATCGGGGACATACTGCACGAGCATCGAGCTCCGGAAGTCGCATTCTCGGTGGAAGCCTTGTTGCAGGTACAGTGGAGAGCACTCTCTTTGCCGCAGGAGCATTTGGCTTGCGCAGCGCAGGCGCACATTCCGTCTCCGGAGGTCTTGCAGCAGGTTGAGGACGGATGAACCATTTTGACGGAAGCCTATCGAATTGGTAAGTCGCTTTCTCGATATTTGATGTAGAGGATTTCGAATAGAGTCAAATAGACCTCAGGTTGCATACCTAGACTTTATTGAGATACTCAGAGTATGTTGTATGACGTAACGCCGATGATGTCGTAGTAGTAGTACTCTGTAGATCGTTTGTTCCGCGAACGGCAGCAGGAAAAATCAATCAAGTCCAGACACAAGGTCACAGTAGGACAGTAGAGTAAGAATGAAAAGCACTGGTAGAGTAATCATGGAAATGTTCCGGTGGCATCTATTTATACTCCCACCTCAGCCGTTGAGCAAACCAGGCAGCATGTACACCATGCCAGACGATTAGCAATGCTTGGCTGGTGATTCGCCGAGAGCCCCAGATCCCGTGCAAGCAGATCAACGTCCCAGACAATCACCACCTCTATCATTGGTTCTCTCCATCAGACCACTGTCGCCACGATCCATGAGTCGATCCGGATTACTTTGCCTGCCTGTTGATTCGACGAAGCTTTCTTGAGCCATTGGCTTCTAGATCATCTTTTATCAGGAAGCTTCTCATTCGATCTTGAATATAAGGTTGATTACTACTCCGTACCACGAAAGTGACCATGCGACCAGATATACTACTACCTACCAGACGGACATACCAGTTATAGTTAACTCTGACCAGTAACTAATTAGACAACAGAGTCAGTCAAGCCATAAGTTCGGGATAGAGGTGCATCTGCACACTAGATGAAGTCTATATCTTCGAGTCTCCAGATGGAAAGAGAAATACAAATCATGCCAAGCACATCACTCGAAAGTACCTTGGTTGTTACCTATACCTGTGTATGCTGGATGCTGTAGATGGCACAGTACTCACATGACTCCTAACCTCAATCAACACCTGAGGCATGAGCCTATATAGCGGTTGGCGACGGAGAAACAAACGCCCCTCTCGGATCCCGAAGTGTAATGTGACGGTAAAATACACCCGCCACCAGCACACCCGCGGGTATCGGCACGTCAGAGGTGTACTGTCCCAATAGTCAGGAAGAAATGCATGGCATCATCGCCATCGTCCTTTTTCTTTTCCCCCCCACGACCCGCCATTCCCCGGATTATCAACCTCCCTCACTTTTTGGTGACCTTTTCCCCACGGTATTGTACTGCATTGTTAGATTTGTACAAAAGCGGTTCCATTCCTACTCTCTATCTTTAACGCATTATACCCTCATACTATCCTGGCCCCGACTGTCCGATAGATTATTCGCGTGACATCCTCCCCCATTCCGACTCGCCGAACTGGACTTTCAGTTTGGACACGTGCTCCAAGTCTGTTATTGTTCCGGAGAATGTCCATTGTGATTCTTTCTTTATAATATCCGGTTCCAGTTGAAAGAACTCCCTTGCGGCAACAAACTCGCAACACATTCGCAGATGGACCAAGCCGCGCAGCCGAGGTCTGCGCGAGGACCGGCATCCGCCACCACGAGCAGTCAGACGACCGCAGCGACAGATCCCACGACCCGAGTCGACGACCCTTCGTCTACACACAAGAGTGCGAGCGACCCGGGGGAACACAAGGCGATCGACAAGCGTAGTGCGGGCTACATCGCAAGAAGTGGCGTTGCGGGGGGGTTAGCAGGGTGTGCGGTGAGTGATACTTCCGGTTATATGGGTGGCTGTAGTAGTTAGAAGTGCGGTCGACTGATGGATTGGATGGTATGCAGGCCAAATCTGTGGTGGCACCGCTCGACCGGGTGAAGATCTTATTTCAAGCCTCCAACCCCCAGTTTGCAAAATACAGTGGCAGCTGGTTCGGCCTGGTAGCAGCCGTCCGGGAGATCAAGCACCATGAGGGTCTGCGGGGTCTTTTTAAGGGGCACTCGGCGACGCTTCTCCGCATCTTCCCCTATGCAGGCATTAAGTTCCTTGCGTACGAGCAGATTCGGGCGGTGGTGATCCCGTCTCGCGACAAGGAAACGGCCTTTCGCCGGCTGGCCTCGGGCAGTCTGGCCGGAACCACGTCGGTGTTTTTCACATACCCCCTCGAGTTAATACGGGTGCGACTGGCCTTCGAGACTAAACGGACGTCGCGATCATCCTTGAGGGACATCGTCCGGCAGATCTACCGAGAACAGCCTGTGCAGCCCAAGGCCCCTCCGCCCTCGTCGGCGACCGCAACGGCAGCGGGGCATGCTTCGGCTGTCGTGCACAACGCTATGCCTTCTTCCGGCCTGGCCAACTTCTACCGGGGATTCGTCCCGACACTCTTAGGCATGCTCCCGTACGCGGGCGTGTCGTTCCTCACCCATGACACTGTCGGCGACTGGCTCCGCTCGCCTTCCCTCGCCGAACACACCACCATCCCGGGCTCAGAATCTTCCCGCAGAGGATCACGACGACCACAACTGACCGCCGCCGCCGAGCTCTTCTCCGGGGCCCTGGCCGGTCTCGTCTCCCAAACCTCATCATACCCGCTCGAGGTGATGCGGCGACGGATGCAAGTCGGCGGCGTGGTCGGTGACGGCCGCCGGCTGGGGATCCTTGAAACCGCGCGGACAATCTGGCTCGAGCGCGGGTTCCGAGGGTTCTGGGTCGGGCTGACCATCGGATACGTCAAGGTGATCCCAATGGTAGCCACTGGCTTCTTCGCCTACGAGCGGTTGAAATGGGCTTTTGGGATTTGAGTGGGTTATTCGCCCTCCTCCCCTGGTCTGGTTTCCTCGGTTCTGTTCAGATCTTGTCTAGAAATGTTGGGGCGTCTTGGTTGTTCGACTCGGACCGTTACATCGTTGTTCATCATACCCGTTTCTTGCATTGTGGCTAAGTTCATTGCGTACATAGTTTTCCTACGGCTGTTGCCTCATAAATGTATAGACTCATATTGTTCTTTTCTCTTTTTTTATATACTATCGTTTAGAATTCAGATGCCAATCCAGCTAAAATGAATTAACATTCTAAGCACAGATGCCGACGACACGGGACCATCCTTGTCAATCAATTCCAAATCATAGCATAGCATAGTAGCTGAACCCGAATTTTGTTCTCAGATCATGGAGTCTGCAATGGAATCTCGAAAAGTATAAGATGACTCTGCCGCCGGTGATTGGCCACAAGTTTTGTCCCTTCCACCGCCCGGCAGAAAAAAAAGATTGACGGGGAAATCATCAACCCACCTCAACGTTGAACTGACAATTGCCCAAATATTGATCGCATCTCAGCTGGACAAACATACCTGCTTTAAATTAACAGGCTACTACAGTGCAGAACGGATCGACTTTAAAAAAATCCATTTTTCAGCGGTATCTCTTCCTCCACCGCAATGACCACCCGCAAGAGGAACGAGTTCCTCGACATCGTCGACAGCGACGACGAAGAAGGACAAGGCAGTGAAGCTGGCTACGATTCCGAAGCCGCAGAGGAATCCAAAGTACGATCTGTGAAGCGACGGAGGACAAGAACGGGAAACAACGCCGGATCTGACACCGGCTCCGACGACGACTCTTCCGACGGGGAAAGCCGCACGGCGAAGATCAAGACGAAGAAGCGCGCCAAGTCGACCACCACAGCCGAAGATGAAGACGACGACGAAGATTCAGACGGCGGCATGGACCTCGACGGCGAGATCGACGAAGAAAAAGACGAAGACGACCACTACCTCGACGCAACCGCGCACAAGTCAACCACCAGCAGCAGCACGAAAAAGGGCGCAACCAAGCCCCCCAAGAAGAACAAAACTGGCGTGGTATACCTCTCCTCGCTACCGCCGTACCTCAAGCCCTTCGCGCTCAAATCCCTGCTCGAGACGCGCGGCTTCAGCCCCATCACGAAAGTATTCCTGCAGCCCGAGGTCCGCGGGGCGTCCGCGCCGCGCCGCCGGTCCAATAAGCGGAAGATCTACACGGACGGGTGGGTGGAGTTTGCGTCTAAGAAGACGGCGAAGATTTGCGCGGAGTCGCTGAATGCGTCCATTGTGGGCGGCCGCAAGGGTAGCTGGTACCACGATGATGTGTGGAATATGAAGTATCTGCGTGGGTTTAAGTGGGCGGATCTGATGGAGCAGGTGCAGCGGGAGAGATCGGAGAGGGAGGCTAGGCAGAAGATCGAGGATGCGCGTGCGCGCAAGGAGGATCAGGTCTTTGTGGAGGGTGTTGAGCAGGGGAAGGTTATTTCGGGGATTCAGAGGAAGAATGAGGAGAAGGAGAAGAGGGGGAGGAAGGAGGGTGCTGGGCTGGGTGGGGAGAAGAAGGGGAGGAAGGGAGATGGGGAAATTCGGAGAGTGTTTAGGCAGAATGAGGTCAAGCTGGGTCGTGATAAGGTGCCTGCTGGGCGTGCGGCTCTTGGGGATGATGCGAAGAAGGTCCTGGCTAAGATTTTTTGATGGTTTTATATTTTCTTTGGATGGATGTTTTCTACGATAGTTATAGATGATACCAGTGATACGAAGAAATCGACTTCGTTTTGTATACACCATAAAAGTGCTTGTATGTACTATGAAGGTTGTAAAAAAAGAAAAAAAGAAAAATCCTGGCCGTTCAAACCAGTGCTTTTAGAGTATCAGATCAAGTAAACCATGGAACGCCAAACCCATTGTGCAGTCGTGATGATCAAGTCCGCATTCTCCCCCAGAATCATTCGTTGCCTCCCATATTCAGCTCATCAAAGTCATCAAGTAGTTCCTCCATGTTGATCTTGGGAACTCCTGCGTCGTCACCACCGTCGCTCTCCTCATCCATCTCCATTCCACCCGACTGCTGGGCGGCTTGATTCTTGACCTTGTACAGGTCGAGCGTCTGCCGCAGTTCCTGGTCCTCCTCCACGTCGCGCAAGAACATCTCGAAGTCCGCCTCGAGACGCTCCCGCTCCTGGTCTTGCTTCCGGTTGTTGCCACCGCCGCCGGCCGCCGCCGCCGCCTGCGCTTCCTGCTCGTGCTCGAGCGCCATGCGCTTGACGCGCCAGTTACGCTTGTTCTTCTTCTTGCGGGCGTAGTGCTTCTTGACTAGCACCACATCCGGAATAGTGGATCCGTACTGGCTGCTGGCCTCGATGGCTTCGAAGTTGTCGTCGTTGAAGTTGGTGCCGGTCAGATGGTAGCCCATGACGGAGTCACCGACGTGCAGGACACCGCCGAGATGCGTGCGGCAGAAATACGTCTGGTCGTTGGAGCCCAGATCGGACGCGCGCGCGACCGTGACCTCGGCGAGGTGGAACCGGCCGTTGGACTTGCCCGTCGGCTCGATGTCCATGACGATGAACTCGGTCAACTCGGTCACATCGGCGAGGGTCTTGAAGGGCGAGCGCCAGTAGATGTTCGCTGGAACATCGGCCGTCTGGAGGGTATTCGGATCGAGAAGGTTGACCGACGTGCCGACACGGTAGCACAGAGTCAGAGGCGAGATGTTGCCGAGCGATCGGGAGAGCTTGATGGGAAGGGCGACCAGGTCGTCCTTGCAGATGGGGACAATTTCCATGGAAAAGGTGAACTTGTAAGACTTGGTTGACGTGTGGATATCCATGGAGATGAGCTCCTGCGCCTTCTTGACTTTCGTAGGCGCCACGGAGGACAGGAAATCCACCATCTTCTCCGCCTGATTCCGCTGGGCGAAGAAGAAATCGATACCGTCCTTGGCTTCCTTGATATTCACGGTGTCCTGATGGGCCTGGTGATGCAGGATAAGCTGCTCCAGATACAAGAACGTCCGCTTATGAGGCACCTTCTGCCGCACTTGAACCTGAGCAGCCCAGACGTGGGGCGTGAACGACTTCATACACTCCCGACACTGCTGGTATGCGACGACATATTCAACCTCGAACGTCTGCTGCACAATCGATTCGTATGCCTCCTGTTGAATAGTAATCTTGACCTTGATACGTCGCGAGTGCGGTTCCGTCCAGAGGAAGCTGGCATCGATAATGCGAACCTTGGACAGACCGCGCAGCCGACGCAGACAAAGAGCCAACAGCTCTTTCGATTCGAGAGGGGCGCTGACCCAAGCACTTGGGGGCTGCAGCCACCGCTCGCAGTCTCGGCAGGTATGAAGTACCGCCTCTCGCTGGACACCGGCGGAGATATCGACACTCAACCTGACGCAGTCCGTACACAGTGCACCGGCGGATGATGTGCCATCGATGGGGGCACCACAGTTGCAACAGAGGATGCTAAAAAAAGATATATTAGCATCCTGGCTTTCCATCCATTCTGAAAATGCAAAGATTTCCCGTTCTCGAGGGTCCAAAAAGCACCATTTGCCTCCTTCTGGGCACTGCAGTAGAAAAAGAGGGGTCAACATACGTCGGCGCAACATGTTCCTGGGCCCCAATGGGCATAGGTGCATCCAAGTCCATCGACATGGCTGCGTAGTATGACTTGTGCGTGAAATTCAAAAGACCAAGCCAAAAGTGAAGGAGTCTCCAGACCCTTTCAGTTGTTAGCGGAAAGACTGACAAGTTATAGATTTGTAAACTTTTTTTTTTTTGCCCCGCGGATAAGGTGTTGTTTGCACTGTTTGTCTGATGACTCATGCCAAGCTGCCAAGCCTGTTTTCCCTGTTTGTGCCTGGCCTGGCCCTGCTGAGTCAGTGCTGAGTCATACGCATGACGCTGGACCTCGGCTGAAGCGGCCGGGGAGATTCAACCTCCGCATTGTCACTCTGGCTGTTCTTCCATCTGCGAGGATGCGCCACGACTGTCACCATGGAGTATCTTCCTAGTCTTCAGGAGGAGTTTGACGAGCTCAAGCCGTCTCTTTTTGGTAAGTCGACACGTTCTACTCATGACCAATAATCCCCCAACCGGAACTAACCGATCAACTATCAATAGAACTCCTCGCAGAGCAGCAACTATCAGACCTCCTCCCTCCCTCCCTCCGCTATCTCCTTGCAGTCGCGACTCATCGACATCCCCGATATCTCCTCCGCGTCCTGAACTCTTATGACGAGATCTACGCACTTCTCTCGCTGGTAGTCGAGCGCTACTACCTGCGCAACTTCGGTGGCTCCTTCACCGAGAACTTCTACTCCCTCAAACGGGAGCGCGTCCTCCTCACGAAAAATGGCGAAGTCCCCCGAGCCCAACTGGGCGCCCCAGCCCCCGTCCGTGAATCCCTCAAGCTGCGGGATTCCGACGTGTGGAAGAATCTCTTCGTCATGGTCGGCATCCCCTACCTGAAGCGCAAGCTCGATGAGGGGTACGACGTGCACGCGGCGCCGCACGCCGCACTGATCACAAGCGGCGGGCCGCGATATAACCCCAGCGACGACCTGCCGCCGAATCCGACTATTAAGCAGCGTCTGGCCTTCTACTACAAGTGGTTCCTGCGGAACGTCTACCCGTCCGTCAACGCAGCCTATCACTTCTCCGTCCTCGCCTTCAACCTCGCCTACCTCTTCGACAACACCAAGTACTCCTCCCCCTTCCTGTGGCTGATCGGGACGCGCATCCGCCGTCTCGGCGCAGCAGACCACCGCGCCATCGCGGCCGTCCTGGAGCCCAAGCCCAAGCCTGGTCCCGCAGCCGGTGGTGCGCGTCGTCCGGGCTCCGGCCTCCTGGGGATGCTGAGCCCGCAGAACCTGTATCCGCAGGCTCTGTCCTCGCTGCGTTACTTCCTGCCGGCATCGATCTTCGCGCTCAAGTTCCTGGAATGGTGGCACGCAAGCGACTTCTCGCGGCAACTCGCCCGCAAAGCCACCGACATGCTGGACCTGCCGGCCCCCGTCGTCAACGGCATGACCCCGCCGTCGGAGAAGCGTCGTCTCGCAGAGGAAGCCCAAGCCAAGGCCCAAAAAGCTGCCGAGACCGAGAAGAACAAGAGCCCAGAGCCTGACTCGCCCCGCAAATCTGCCCTCAAGGCGGCGCCCGTCGGGAACCGCATCCAACCGCCCATCTCGGCCACGTCTTACCTGCCCATCTTCACTGTGCCTCTCCCGCCGGCAGACTCGGACGCCGCGTCGACTTGTCCCATATGTTTAAATGCGCTAGCTAACCCGACCGCCTGCCAGTCAGGCTACGTGTTCTGCTACGTGTGCATCTTCCGCTGGGTGAACGGGGAGCATCAGCGCCAGGTTGACTTCATGAACGGTGAGGGCGCCGGTGCGGCGTGGGAGGATGAGGACGAAGAGGAGGGAGAGAAAGACGACGAGGCTGCTGAGACGCAGGGACAGAGCCGTCAGGGCAAGTGGGAGAGCGGACAGGGTCGGTGTCCGGTTACGGGGCGCAGGTTGTTGAGCGGTACGGAGGGGTTGCGTAGGGTGCTGGTTTAGATGTTTGATGCTCTTTCTATGACTTATATTGTATATAAATATACCTCGTCTTTGCATGCATTTTTTTCTTTCTTTCGATGATATCGATGTGGATTCGATTGAGCAAACCCAACTGGACATCGCCTCAATTCTACAGTGCGAGAAACCAAGTACATGTATGCAAACACTATATTAATAAGGAATATGAATATCCAGCAACAAGAGTGATCCCAAAAGAAATAAACAAAAGATAAGAAAAGAACTGCCCAGCCAAAACCAACCCGATCATTTCGGAACATACGGGGCAGCGCCCTCGCCGAAAATTAAAGCCGGTCTCTCCTTGGCGATCTTCAGGATCGTCTGCGCAAAGACCGAGTTGGCCCATGCGAACCACGGCCGCGAGTAGTCCTTGATGTTGTTCACGTTGATGGACTCGTGTACGAGGCCCAGGAGGCTGGAGTTGCGCACGAGGTTGATCGATTCCTTGATCTCTTCGTCGGAATCGGATGTCATGGCTTGTACGAGGAGGGACATGGGCCAGGCGTTTTGGAGTCCGACTGGTGCTTTGTTAGTGGCTGGTAACCAAATGGAACGATGAGGGGGGGAGGAGAGGGACGGTGAGCTTACTGTGCGGTCCTCCAATTCCGTGAAACGCCGTTCCGGTGAGATAGTATGGATTCCACTCCTTGTCGAGGATCATCTTGCGGGTGTTCTGATAGACCTTGTCGTCCTTGTCGACGTAGCCCAGAATCGGCAACGCCAGGAGTGACGGGATGTTCGCGTCGTCCATCAGGATGCGCGAGCCGTACCCGTCGACCTCGAAGGCGAAGACATCGCCATACTTGGCGTGCTGGACGACGCCGTGCTCGCGCACGGCTCGATCGAGTCGCTCGCCGCGCTGCTGCAGGTCGCGCGCGAGATCGGCCTTGCCGCCCGCGGCACGGATCATCTCGGCGGTCTTCTTCAACTGCACGGCCATCATGGCGTTGGGCGGGATGAAGAACCCCAAGATGGTGGCGTCGTCGCTCGGTCGGAACGCGCTGCGGATCAGGCCTGTATGCCCGCTCAGAGGGTTGCCGATGCCCGCGAGGTTCAGCGTCTCCGTGCCCAGATCAGTCTTGCGCTGGAAGGTGTATTGGTTCTGGACGAACTGGCCCTGCTCGTTGAAGGTGGGTTTCGCCTGCGCGTCCAGCACTTTCAAGAGCGTCTGCAGCGCGGAGTACCATCTTCCCGTAAGGAACTCGGTCGATCCCGAGTTTTCGTGGAATTCCGTGCTCAGCGCAAGAAAGTGGGCCAGCGAGTCGAGCTCATACTTGCACTCGAAGACCACAGACGGCTCATAGGCCGGGTGTACCCTGTCGTCCTGACCGTTGTCGGTGGGCTTGAGACCGCTCGGCGGTGGAGGCTGGAACGCGTTGCAGTAAGGCGATTGGATGACGAACTCGGCTTGCGTGTTGATCGCGCCGAGGATAAGGTTATGCAGCTTTTTGTCTTTCTTGGTCAGGGACTGATACCCGGCCAGCTGATTCGTCGAGTCGCGCAGCCACTCGGCATTAATGTCGCCCGTCACAACGAACGTCTGCGGGCCCTCCCACTGGGCGCCTTCCCTCTTGCGCTTACTCGACGCGGGCGTCTTGTCCGTGTGCCATCGGATGGTCGTGTCGAGGGTGTTGGGGAAGGCGTTTCGGAACAGCTGAGCGAGGTCTTTATCCACCATGCGCGACGTGACATCTTCAATGACCTTCTCAACCGCCGGGGAAGAGAATGTGCGACATTCCGTGGCGGGTCGTTGGAAGGGCAGTCTCAGAGGCCCATCGCTGTAGGGGGCACTGGTGGGAGTTAGGTACCGCGTACAAACGACATGGACATGCCGCGCAACAGAAATGGCAAAACCCACTGTCCTACCGATGCATAGTCGGTATAGTCCGGACAGGCTCGTCGCAGAAGAGCCAATTCCTCTTGGTGTTCTTTCGCAAAGCCCCTTGCGCCGAGAGCTGCCACAGCCAAGACCAGCGCTGTCGCAGAGCGAATCATCATGAATGAACAGGAAAATCTCCGCGTCAAAGCGTATATTTCGCAGATTATAGAACCGCCGATGAAAGTATTCTATTTACAAACTCCTCCAGCCAGGGAGGAGATTGAGGATGTTTAATTGGTTTTGCGATGGACGCGGAGATCCTGCCAGTTCGAATGCGGAGATCGAAAACGGGACGATCGGCAGACCCAGGAATGGATCGATAAAAGACCAGACCCGACCGTCGCAAATGCAGTGCAAAGAAGAGAGAGAAAGAATGGACGAGGTTCTAGAGTCAGAGATGGATAAACAGACTGGAGGAAATTGGAATGGAAACTGCGGGGAAATCCATGGGTCACGAGACGGGATCAATCAATGCAGTTTCATGGATTAAGTAATTACTACATCTAGTCGCAAGTGATATTGATCTTTCCCCCTCCATGACACCTTTATTTCTTGCCGAAAAACGACATGATGCTGCCCTGGCCAGGTTTTGCTCCTCCTGCCTTGCCTCGGGGCGCACTCACAGCCGGTTTCTTCTTCGGCGGTTCGGGCTCGTCCTCGCTGAACGACTCCCATGATGGCTCCTCGACGGTCACTGTATCAAGATGACGAGGTTAGTGGTCGTGGTTTTTATTACAATGATTGGTAGAAAGAAACATCTCACCCAGGTAGCCCTCATCGTCCTTGACGGTTTTCTTCTTCATCACCTGGCGCTTTCCTCTCCGTCGACCACCCTGCACGCGCACGTCCTCCTTCAGCTCCGGTTTGCTGGGAGGCGGTTGGTCGATGGGCTTGGACTCTTCTTCGACAGGTTCTGGCTCTGGTTCTGTAGGCTCTTCCGTGTCGGCCATCTCCTCGTCATCATCCTCCATCATCTGTCGCAGCCGGCTCTGGCGCTCTTTCCGTGACTCGCGGGTGCCGGTCGACGTGGACTTGCCAGAATCCGGGAACAATTCTTCGGCTTCCTCCTCCGAGGCGTCGTCCAAGACCACTGTGATTGGTTAGCAACAACACATGTAGATATACTCTCGTAGACTGACCATCTTCCGTGTTATTCTGGCCGACCTGGAGCGATATTAGCACCTTGAACGAAATGACTGGAATGACCAGGGAACTTACCGATTCGGCACCAGAAGCAGCAGGGGTCTGCGACTCTTCCTTCTTCTGCTTGGGCTTGGCCTTGGCAAAGGAGCTGAAAAGGTTGCCCTTCTCTTTCTTTACCGGTGCGGACTTCTCGGGAGCTCCGGCTGATGCGGGGGGGGTGTCACGTTGAGACGACGCTCCAGATCCGCCACTCTCCTTCTTGATTTCTGTCTTTGCCGGTGGCGCATCGTTTTGCGGTGGTCGTTTGGCCGGAATGGTGCTTGGTTTCGAAGCAGCTGGGGCCGGCGTCGGAACTGGTGGCCGCGTACCGGTCCTCCGCTATGGAACAAGCTCGTATTAGATCGGACTACAATGGACACGAGCGATCAGACACACCTTGACATTCGAGTTTTGAATCATCCCCCACTGCTTGCCATACACCAGGGGGTCCTCGTGCGCATGATCAGCCACCGTTTCCCGCGCCACCTCCGTCAAAACGTTAAGATCTTGAAGGATTGTAGGCTGGAGACTGTAGATGTAGACCGAAGCGATCGACTCGAACGTCGCTTTCGCATCTATACCAATGTTAACTGCGCGGATCCCTCCCGACATCTCCCACACCCCTACTTGCCTTCCAAGTCCTCCTCCCGCACCAAGACAATCGACCGCCGTGTAATATGATCCGTAGTCGTCTCGGCATCCTGATTCGGCAGCGAGCTAGGTATATAAGGGCTGCTCGGCATGACGTCGTTGCCATTTTTCTCGTTCCCATTCACATGGGAGCCGTTCTTCGTCGCGGGGTCCGTCGCCCTCTGCGCGCCGGTAATGAGGTATGTCGCATTGACGCTGTTCGGCTTCTTGTTGTTTTCGTTGCGGTGAAAGTCATACAGCATCCTTGTCGCAGATTAGCTATTTCCCCCTCACCCAAACTTCCAGAAAGAACCACATACTGTTTCGCCAGAGTGCTGTGGACTTGGAGAGCGCGGCTCAGAGAGCGATACGTGACCTAGAGAAGCGTATTCGTGAGCGAGGGGCCGCCAGTCCAGTCCGGCGCGAGCTTGCTACCTACCATCCGACTCTCGTTGAGGACCTTCTCCGCCAGATGCTTTTTGTAGTCGGGAATCGCCATGATACTAGACTCCTCTATCTCTCAGTACCACTCCGTCACCGAATAGATCAATACTGAGACAGACGATGTGTCGGAAAAGACGGTGTTCAACAGTCGACGATCCCATCGGACCCGACGCGTGCCCACCACTTTACGCGTATCAGTCAGCGAGTCTTGGCACTGAACCTAAGCTTCGTTCTCTCGCTCCCTCAATTCATCATTGACCACTTCGACTCTGCACCGCTCAATCAATCCACCTCCAGAACCCAATCGTGGACCCAAGACCTCGCGCGAGGTCTCCTCTAACCCCCCTACCAACCTCGCTCTCCCCATCTTGGTAGTCCGCTCCCAAATGGAGTCCTTCGACCTCTCCGACTCCACCGACTGGCTCGGCACGCCGCTGTCCCTCCTCACGCCGCTCGAGTCCGCCCTCCGATGCCAAGTCTGCAAGGACTTCTTCGATAACCCGGTCATTACGTCCTGCAGTCATACGTTCTGCTCGCTGTGTATTCGACGGTGTCTGAGCACGGAGGGGAAATGCCCCGCTTGTCGCAGCGGGGATCAGGAGCTGAAGCTGCGACGGAATTGGGCTGTCCAGGAACTGGTCGACGCGTTTCAGGCTGCGCGGCCGAGTGTGTTGGATCTGGCGAGGAAGGCTGTTGCCGCGGAGGGCGACGATGATGGTGAAGGGGAGGGCCCCGTCGCGAAGAAGAGGAAGGTCGTTGCTCGCGATGAGGAACGGTTGGTGGCGGATGGTGCGGCGGCGGCGGCATCGGAGGGAAGACAGACTCGGTCGCGGAGTAGAGGGGTTACTACTGCGCCGTCAGAGGAAGTGACTATGCCTGTGACGGAGGTCATTGATGATAGTCAAGATGAGGAGTTTCTTCCCGGTAGGTGATAGGCTTGTCTTGTCCAGTCTACTGGTTTTACCTCGTGAAGTGGTAACTAATGTGCCCAGATGATGGAATGGTGGCGTGTCCTTGCTGCAGTCGGAGGATGAAAAACGATGTCGTGTTTCAGCATCTGGATATATGTACAGGAAAATCGGCTCCTCCAAAGCCAGTCTCATTTGGGTACGTTTGTCCCAGCCTGGTGGCATGCACGTCGCTGACAAGCTCGACCAGACCATTAAAAGCCCAGTCATCCCAGTCGACGACGACGAAGCCACCCGAGAGACTCCCCACGATTAACTACTCGCTATTGAAAGACAACGTGTTGCGGAAAAAACTCAAAGATCTGGGTATACCGAATTGGGGCCCGCGCGCCCTTCTACAAAAACGCCACACGGAATATATGAATCTATGGAATGCCAACTGCGACTCTAAATCACCAAAATCAAAGAGGGAACTCCTGCATGAATTGGCCGTCTGGGAGCGGACCCAGGGCGGCAATGCGACCTCTGCTGATTCCGGGAATGCGGTCATGCGCAAAGACTTCGATGCGACGGCCTGGTCGACAAGCCATGACACCGACTTCAAACAATTGATCGCCAACGCACGGAAGCGGGGCGATATGATGGTCAGATCAACGATACCCCAAGCGGCTGCTCACTCGAGCGAATCGAATGGGCCCGCCCCGCTGGAACAGCCGGTAGTATCTCCCATTGCAACAGGAAACGAGCCGGGACGCGCCAATGCCCCAGTAGATCTCACCGTGGCAGACCCGGTTGGCGAGGCCCAGGGTCCCAGTAATAGCCAGATTTCCAACGCTCCCCTCGGCTAAATGCCCGCCGATCGAGCAACCAGCCCTGTTCCGTATGAAAGATGGAAGCATGGCGCGCCTAACTAAGCAACGTCGCCAAGAACTGGGAAACGCCCCCAGATCAATGAGCCGCTGGCGCCTCCTCAACAGACATCCGGGAGAGCCTCTCTTCCAATTCAGAATCTAGATTCTGCTCAGCTGCTGATGTCCGAGCAGCCTCTCTGGCACTCTGCTCGATGTTGTCGAGCTCGGCGAGCTTCTTCCGAGTCTCTTCCGCGGCCTTCTCTCCCCTCGCCTCCTCCTCTTTGCCCTCCAGCTCGGCAAGCTCGTCGTCGATCTCGGACTCGTCAATAACAGGGCCAGCCTCGTTCATGATGTTGCCGACCTCGTCCACCTTGGACATCTCGTCGCGCAGCTCGTCGACCACATCCTCGACCCTGTCGGCCCCTCCAATCTGCTTGTGCAGCCCGCGAAGGGCACCCGTGCTAGCCTCCATCACCTTGACATACTCCACCTGATCCGCAGCCTGCTCGATTTTGGAAAATACCTCCTCGAGCTGTGTCAGAGTGTCCAGCCTCTGCTGCAGGTTATGCTCTACGAGCTTTTTGGAACGGACTGCCGAGAGGGCCGAGATCCGATTCTTGTGGTGCAGCGCCGTCTTCGCGGTCAGATTTAGCTCGACAATCTTCTTCTCCAGACTCTCGACCTGCTTGGTCATGCTCGCCGTGAGCGCCTTGATCGAGGCAATAGTGGTATCTTGCTGGGTGATTTCACGGGGGGTATCGTCGGAGGGTCGGAAGCGGATAGTCTGTTCGTAATTAGCATATGCGTTGGTCCTGCATGGCCACAGGGGTATATATAGCGGTACCTTGCCGTCATAAGCGATGGCACCGCAGTCGCGGGATAAATAAAGCAATAAAAGGTCAAAATCCGCATCAGACAGCTCACTCTCCTCACTCAGCGCTGTATCAAACGCAGCCTTGAAACTTTCCTTGGAATACACCAAGTCAGTCCTAGACGGGCTCATGCCCGTAACCCGCTTCACGACCCGGCTCGCAGCCTCCTGCTTCGGTATTAGCAAATTATTTCGCTGCGTCTGCAAGTCTACTTATATAAACGGAGCATACCTTTAAATTCTCCACCAGCACCAGCTCCTGAGACTGCAATCCAGGCGTAGCCTCCATATCAGACCCCAGCACCGCACCCCTCAACTGTCTCAGCCCCCAGCTCATCACATTCCACGGATTCAACGCCGCAGGGTCCACGAGATTCCACCGCGGCTTTTCAAGAACAGCCCCGCTACTCTTGTACGCCTGCATGGGGACCATCGTCCGATGATAGACCGCATCGTCCTAAACAACCAGCAAACCAAGACCACGGTCAGCAATCAAGTCCAATAACGATCAATCCCAGCGCAGCCTAAGCAACAACGACGTATCAATCTCTATCAACACATACAATAACAGCAGCCAGCGCCACGGGCCGCCCCCACTCGGGGATCTCCAACTCCCGCAATAAAGACTGGTCGGCGCGGAGAATGAGATGGTCGCTCTTGCGTTTCGAGTCGGTCGGTCCTGCAGAAGAAGAGGGAGAAGAAGATATGAAGCCGCGTTTGGCGGCGCTCGCTAGGGCATGCTGCCAGGCTGCTGTGTTGACGGCGTAGCCCTCGGGGTTCGTCTTTCGGAAGGTGGCAAAGTCGGAGTAGAGGGATGGGAGGCGGTTTCTAGACGGGGTTGGGGGCGTGTCTGTTAGTTACTTGTGATCTTGGGCTCTGGGTGGGTTTGCGGACAAAGGATGGGTGTAGCTGGGGGGTATACGTACTTTCGGAAGGTATCCAGGGAGAGGATGTAGTTGAGGAGGTCGTTCATGTTGAGGGGCGAGTGTGGGGTGAAGGGCTGGTCATGGAGTGACGTCTGTTGTTTGTTGCTATGGCGGTTGCGGTGCTGCTGATCTGGTGGTTTGGACGTCGCCGACTTACAGTCGATCTTGGTCGTTTTGGGTTGGTGTGATCGTCGCTATCGATAAGATACGGTCACGTGTTTATACATTCGGTCTATAGCATCTATACGGAGTACACATTGGGGGATTCCCTGAACTACAATGCTCGGATGGATTACGATCAATAAGTCTAAGACAAGTTACATTCAGTCAATTGTTCGCAGATCTATTATAATATACCGCTCGCCTCTCGTGCGCCCAGCCGGACCTTCGTCCAAAGAGAAGAAAAAACGCTCAAGCTCGTTCAAAATCGTCATCGGGCCGGTCCTCGTTGTCGGCGAGGTCCTGGATCCCTGATTCCAGCGGATTCACAACCAGGGACCGGCGGTGCTGGCGTTTGTCGAGCTTCTCGCTGGTCTCTTGCGTGTCCATCGGGGGGACCGCGTCGAGGGACTCCTGCGTGTTCAGGCCTCTCGCCTCGAGAAATTCCACTTGGATGGTGTGGCGAAGATTATCGACAAAGACCTGCATCTCAGGCATGGGAAATATGCCCTCATTTCGGTCCAGGACACTGGCATATAAGTGTTCCGCCTCTTCCAGGCAGGCAGAGGCCAGCGAGGGTTGGCCGAGTTGGAGCCAGAGATCAGCCGCGAGAACACTCCACATCCCAGCCTTTCGGTACCGCGCACCCCATCTGACACCGGGCAGCGGCGGTCGCGACGCGTAGCAGGCTGATATGCGCTCGCTGAGCAACACCTGACCGATCGAACCGACTAGGCCCAAGTCCATGGCCCGCATGGCCCACCTAGCCGCGCTTTCCGTGGCCAAGCCGCCGCGGGACTTCAGCAGTTCCACCGCCAGGGTGAGGCAGCGAAGAGCATTCGGTACGTCGGAGCACCGCGTATGATACGAGTAACAGGCGGTGTCCAGCATCTGGTCGATATCCCCGAGTTTGGTCTTGGCGGGCATGGAGACCGGGTTCAGGAGTAGGCTGATGGCGCACATTTCGTGAACCCCCGCATGATACTTCCATGCTTTGTCGTTGGCGTAGTCGGACCGGATCAGTTCGTATGTGGAGGCGGCCAGCTTCCAGTCCCGCAGCATGAAGGCAAAGTCTGCCATCTTCCGCAGAACGGCCTCCGGGGCGTCGGGTCGGTAGAAGCCGCGAGCGCCATCATAGTTCCCACTCACCCCGCCCGCAGATCCCGTCAGGCTGGATCGAGAACTGGAACCGAACCCCGCCCATCTTCGCGACATGGACATGAAGCGACCGCTGATGCCGCGTCTCCGAGACGCTACTTGGTCGTTCCAGACCGCCACGCGATTCTCCATGAAAGGGATTACCGACTGCGCGACTAACTCCCGTACAAACGCCTTGATCGCCATGACATCCGACTCGAAGAGGTAGAGATGACCATCCATATCTAGGTCGACGAGTGGCTCTGCTGTTCGTTAGGACCATAGTCAAACCCTCGACGGCAAGGGCGGCAATGGATTGCTTACCTGCGCTGCCCGAGAGACGCTCCGCGGGCGAGACCCATTCACATTCCGGCACTTCGACGCTGTCATCATCGGTCACGACGCACTGGTTGCTGCGGAGTCGTAGGAGATGGCAGTGCAGGCCAAAATGCCGCTTCATCTGGTCGTACAGCTTGGTCGATTCGGCGATGTCGTCGCGGTCCTCGTCGTGGACGAGCACATAGTAGCGGAGGTACTCGGGATGGATCCACTCCGGTAACCGTCGATCTCCATTGGTCGTGTCCGCATACAGCTGTCGGAGGGTCTCCAACGGGCTGGTATTTCGAGAGCTGATAGCGATCACACTTGCGACCGGGTGACGAAACGTTTCATGGGGCGTTGCGGACGGGATCGACAGGAGCTGGTGCAGGAAGTCGTTGTATAGCGGAGAAATCGTCGAAGCCCCGGCCAAGTCCTTTGGGCGCAATGTCCGGGCCAGCGGATTCTCTGCGGCCTCCAAATCTTTGGTCAATGCCTCGTCAATCTGCGTCAATGGAGGGGGTTGCCCCGGAGTCGCATCCGGAGGGTACCGCGCTTGGCCCCCCAAATCCACAAACCGCACCCCATAGTCCTCCCACCCACGACTCGACCCCACACTATCTCGAATCACGATCTTCCCCGGGACATTTTCCCCAAATGGCCGTATTAACCCCCAGAAACCACCCGGGAACCCCTTCTCGTGGACCAGGTCATCCGTATCGACCGACGCATAGACCCCGACCACGGGAGAAAAGGACCGGGTAATCAACGAGCGCACATCCTCTGCCCCTTCGAACCGTCCTCCATCTGGGGAACCTAGCGACGACCGATTGAGCTGGGGGGTCGACGACCTTAGCGACCGGGCGTAGGGTGACGCAGAGCGGATCGGCAGTTCCGTCGTGGCGGACAGCGGCGGGGGGGATGGACCGACGGACTGATCGACATGGTTCGAATCTAGAGACTGGACGGAATCGCGACGCTGCGACGCATGAGTCGAGTACCTGGAGGTGGAGGAGGCCCGCGCTACGCCGGGGGAAAAGGACGGCGGAGGTTTGACCGGAGCAGCATCTCCGGGCGATGTCATGGACGCCGAGGGGATTCGGACCAGCAAGTGACAGGAAGAAAGGAGAGGGTTGGAGGGCGCATGAACGGGTGGGCTTTCTCTTCTGGACTCCTTTGTTTCTTTCTTTTTCGTCTGTGTTATTTAATTCCGTATATTTTTCCGATCAAATGGATGTCAAGGAAGAGAAAGAGGGGGAAGTTAGATAGGGTGGAGGAGAGGATGGAGGAACAATAATCAGAACAAGCCAAGTCAGACCAAAGGAACAACACCTCCTGAACAAGTCAGGGTCCCACAATGCCAAAGTGAGGTCAGGATGAGGTGGAATGATCAACAACTATGGTCCAGTGGAACTGGTCAGAGAAGTCTTGATTATTGATCCACAGACAATTGATTCTCCTTATTCGGATCCTGTCACATCCAGCATCATGATCATCGTGACTGATTGACTTGATAGAGGATCGGCTGGATTGCGCAGGCGGTGAGTCCACGTATGACGGGATTTACTTGGACGATATTTTGATGACCAGTTCGGAATCATGCATTGACTCATACTTCTCCTTGTCATGTTGATGGAACTCTCGTTCTTTTTATAGACTCTTTTCTCTCGTTCCCTCTCGTGTTCCTTCATGCGCGCGTCACAGATCCATGCCACGGCCTCTTCCTCGCGTCTTCTCTAACCGTCTGCCCCTCCGTCTCCACCCACTACGATCCTCACATCCTCCCACACCCCGCGACAATATCTCCTTAGGATCCTTACCGGTACGTCGAGGTTCTGGCCCACTCGTGCGGAACTATTCTATGCGACGGCGGCCCACCCCGAATTCTTCCCCCGAACGTGCTTGCAAAATACGACGGGTCTCCGCGAGAGTCTCCCCGCATCCTTCCACCATGGGCCAACCGACCCCGACGTTGGAGCTCACTCCCATCGAAAATACCCTGCGAACTCTCTTGCTCGATGTGGCGGAATATATCCGACAGCAGGCCATTGCGAAAGGGGCTACCGAGGTCGACGCGCCTCGGACGGTCCTCCGGTTCACAGGCGGCTGGGTGCGGGACAAACTGCTGGGAGTGGACAGCCAGGACATCGACGTCGGGATTAACAACATGACGGGGTATCAGTTCGGGCTGCTACTCAAGGAGTACCTGGACGATCCCGTCCGTCTCGAGGCATACAAGAGGAACCATCCCACGGGCGAGCTGAAGAACTCCATCGTCAGCCTGCACAAGATCGGCGCCAACCCGGAGAAATCGAAACACCTGGAAACGGTGACTACGCGAATCTTTGGGCTCGACGTCGACTTAGTCAACCTGCGCAAGGAGACCTACACGGAGGATAGCCGGAATCCGCAGATGGAATTCGGCACCGCGGAGGAAGATGCCCTGCGCCGCGACGCCACGATCAATGCCCTCTTCTACAACCTGAACGAGTCCGTGGTGGAGGACATGACCGGGCGAGGCTTTGACGATCTACGGGATCAGATCATCCGTACCCCACTGGAACCCTACCAGACCTTCCGGGATGACCCTCTGCGCGTCCTCCGGTTGATCCGCTTTGCAAGCCGACTGGGGTATCGCATCGACTCAGGGACGGAGCGAGCGATGGGAAATGCGGATATCCGCGAGGCGCTGAAACTGAAGATCAGCCGTGAGCGGGTGGGCGCGGAGTTGGAAAAGATGCTCCGAGGTACGTGACCTTCCCTGCCGTGGTTTTCAATCTAGCCGATGTACTGACCCGTGCCAGGTCCGGATCCCCACGGTGCCCTAGGCCTAATCGACCGTCTCGGGCTCTATACCACCATCTTCGCCAATCACCAGGATGATGTGACAGTCGACACGTCCAACTGGTCGCTAGCCTACGACGCCCTCCAGAATCTCCTTCATCCCCGTGATCAGCCGGAGTCCGTGGACCGGGTTCGCCGCCGCCTCATCCAGGACGAGCATGGCGCATACCACGCATGGATCATTGCGGCTCTGGCGCCCTGGTCGACCGTTCCCGGGCGCCCCACACAGGGACCCAAAGCTAAGCCGTTTCCCCCACGGGCGGTTGAGGTCGCTCGAGATAGCCTCCGCTCGGACAACAAGACCACCACCCTCTTATCCGACGCGACTCGGAGTTTTGAACCGATCATCCATGTGAAAAACGCGCTCGTGGCGGGACAGATGGAGGGAACTCCAGCAGAGGTCCGACAGCAAATCGGATTGCACCTGCGGTCGTGGAAGAAGGACTGGAAGCTGTGTATCGTCATGTCGATTCTCCAGGAAGTCATGCTGGGAGGGCCGTTTCTTAGTGGTGAGTGATCTTTTTTTTTTTTCTTTTGTTTTAACCGTCGATCCAAGACACTAACTCGTATGAGTTATAGTCATCGAAGG